TGTAGTTTAGTTATAGGTTGGCATTTTGCAATTATGTACCGTACATGCCCCTTAAGTAGAGTATATTTATTAACTGTTTATAATATTTGTGGTATATAATGTAGCCATGAATGACCACATGACCCCACAGGATGAACTACGATGGCTTCTAAATAAGACATTGGATGAAAAGTTCACGAATATTGAGCTTTATATATGATTCGGGTTAAATACAATAATTATTAACCTAGCTTTATACAAAATGTACATACATGTTCTAATAATTGTATTTTGCTTCATACAATGCATTATTCAGCTTCATACATTATTCAGCTCACTCCCCTTTGGGGCTTTTCAGTCACCGCTTACATCAAGTATTAGGATTACTTATGTTAGTCTAGACTACACGGGTAAAAATTGATCAGGTTGTTCGGCGTTGTTCAAACAGGAGTGAACAATGTTGTGCTGCACCCCGTGAACAATATTGTTAACAAGTTGTTCAACCATCAGTGCTGTTGCAAGTTCTGAACAAGATTGTCAACAAGTTGCAACAATGTTGATGGTTCAACAACTTGTTAACAATATTGTTCACGGGGTGCAGCACAACATTGTTCGCTCCTGTTTTGAACAACTTGCATCAACATGATGATTTTTACGCGTGTATTTATCTTCATAACAATGAGAATATGATATCACTTTCTAACTGTTTTTATTCTAACCCACCCTGCCATATTTTGCCTTGTGGGAAGAAACCAGAGCAAAATATAAAATTAAATTACCTTGAAAACACCTAAATTGCAATCCCTAAAATTTAGAATTTTATCCTAAATCGCCTTAAATCGCCTAAATACGCATTATATCGCAGTGCTTGAAAATCCCAGTTTTTCCTTAAATCCCCTAAAATCGCCCAAAATCGCATTATATCACAGCGATTTAGGGCGATTTACCGCCCCAGAGTAGGCCTATAACAGAAATGTATATACAAACTTAAGGGTGTCCAATTTCAAGTCAGTGTTCAGGCCGTCGTTATCGGGAATTTGAAGTTATATAGCAATATCTGCGTCATGTTCATCCTTTCAACCACGGAGGTTTCCAAACGGTATCTTCTGTGACGAGGGACATATTACCACTTGGATTGCAGCACTCGGCTCGAAGGTTAACTTGAATTGCAGAGTGACCATCTGCCTGTACAATTGTCCCAGAAACTGCGGCCACAAGTTTGATGAAGAACAACAACGCCAAAAAACATCGACAGTTCATCTTGCAAATGATTTTATGATGGGTGGAACTATATCGTCAAGAGTTTATTGTTTATACACGGAAAATACGCCTGCGCGAGGACCTCGTAAGCTATGCCGGGATCTTATTAATTAAGTCCGCATCCTCATACCACTTGTTACGAGAGAAATTTATGCAGTGTACGTAGTGAATCGTTACAACCAATCTCTAATAACTATCAGTTCTTAATATAATGTTCGTCTTCTCGTAGTAGTTTCCTAAAGTTCACTTCATTTCACTTTGCTCATCAGTCTTCACTTTACTTCACTTTACTGATCAGTCCACTGAGAAATTTACTGAGATCATACACTGAGAAATTCCACTGAGGAATTTATTGACGAATTTCGGTTGTGCATTTTCTGAGACAGAAAGAACGCAGTGCGGTGCCTTGGGCCAATGTGCATTGGGAATTGTGGCTAAGATCGCAGTATCCTACAAATAGATCAGTCGGCCCTGGGCAACGCGCTGTCACTAATACTACTACCAAATTGCCTTTTCTTAGTATACCTCGCGGCCATTGTTTTCGATTTCACAAAGGCGAGGAATGTTCGGGCTGTGAGTTTAAGCACACTTGTTTTAAATGCGCTGGCTCACACCCAACCATAAGATGTAATTTTCGTGGCCTACCAAAACGAGATCAGAACCGAAACGCTAGGTCCGATAAGCGCAATGCCGCTCCCAACCCCCATACAAATAAATCAACTTAATTCATTTTTACAGGGTTATAACCCTAACGATAGCAAAACACTTGTTTCAGGTTTTACGCATGGTTTTTCTTTACATTTTCACGGCTTCATTAACCAAACTGAGGGTAAAAATTTGACTTCAGCTTTAGCGCACAAAAACGTTGTTACGCAAAAACTCTCTAAAGAATTAGTCGCTGGCAGAATCGCTGGACCTTTTCATGCCATGCCATTTCATCCGTTCCGAGTTTCTCCCTTGGGTCTTGTGCCTAAAAAGTCTCCTGGTGAATTTCGATTGATCCATCATTTATCTTTCCCAAGAGGATCTTCGGTCAATGATGGCATTGGTTCTGAGGATACTAGTGTGCATTATGCCACCGTGGCTGATGCAATACGTTTAATCAAATCCAACGGGAAGGGCTGTTTTCTTGCGAAAACAGACATTAAAAATGCGTTCCCTATTATTCCTATTCGACCAGAGGACCACTATTTACTGGGTATGAAATGGCAGGGCATGTATTATTATGATCGATGCCTTCCTATGGGGGCAGCCAGCTCGTGTAAAACATTTGAAATTTTTAGTACGGCTATACAGTGAATTGCTCAACAAAAACTTCTCATCGATTCTATTTTACATTTACTTGATGATTTTCTCCTTATATCACCATCTTATGACACCTGTGCAGTTCGGTTAAAACGTTTTCTCGATTTTTGCGCTTTTATTGGATTGCCCATGGCACCGGAAAAACGTGTGGTCCTTCAACCACGCTTTGTTTTGCAGGTATTGAGTTAGACACGATCAGATTTGAGGCCCGTTTACCTTTGGAAAAATTGAGAAAATGTGTTGACCTTATTTCTGATTTTCAAAAGCGTAAGAAGATTACCTTAAGGGAAATTCAATCTTTAATCGGCCTTTTAAATTTTGCATGTTCTGTCATCATTCCCGGCAGGGCATTCTTGCATCGCTTAATTGATCTCACCCACGGCATCCGTTTATCTCATTACCTTATCAGGCTTAATCGCGAGACAAAACAAGACTTAAATGTGTGGCTATCGTTTTTAGCAAATTACAATGGCCGGTCATTTTTTCTCGAGGAACGCTGGGCAAATTCTCAGCAACTTAATTTATTCACGGATGCTGCGGGTGGAATTGGTTTCGGTGCAATTTTTGGCACAGAATATTGTCATGGCCTCTGGCCTGACGAATGGCGTTATCGTAACATCGCGATCTTAGAGTTTTATCCGATTGTACTCAGTCTCTGCTTATGGGGTCATAAGATGGCGAACCACAGTGTTTTATTTTTCACCGATCCAACAAAAGTCTTTTTCATTATGCAAATGCTAAAGGGCTATGGAAAACTGGGTTTTCGCTTGGATAGTCGGTTACCAATAACCCTTCCAATCCTTACCCGATTACTTATGGCTGCTTCACAGTGTATTACCACTACATATGATCAATGCCAATTTAAAGCCATGTGTGCTCTGGCATTCTTCGCCTTTCTACGTATTGGCGAACTAACTTCAACATCAAAGCAGTCTCCTATTCCACTACATTTAAACCAACTCACCAAACTCTTAAGAGACGGTGAAGTAATTGGTTTTAAAATAACCTTCACCGACTATAAACACAATTACAACCAACGCCCGTTTTCCATGGCCATTTATCGTCAGCCAACCCCCAAGCCCTGCCCTGTACAACTTTTGTGCAATTATTTGACCCGCCGTGGCAATTCTCCTGGGCCAATTTTCATGACTCCTGTGGGGGCGACGGTGCCGAGAAACATGTTTATTTCCTATCTCAAGCAATGCTTAAAATTTTGCAACCTCAATCCTACGGTTTATAAATCTCACAGTTTCCGAATTGGCGCAGCATCATTCGCAGCTGAGCAGGGCTTGTCTGATGCGCAGATTCGCGTCTTGGGTCATTGGAAGTCCAATGCATTTCACAAATACATTCGAGTTTCAACCCTTACAGCATCATAAATTATAGATATTTCACCCTCCCCCGGACAACAATGCGGGTGTTGTCCGGTGGAGGCTTTAAGGGTGGCAGGGCGATGTTGTCATACAGGGGCTGACAATACCTTTCTGCCATGTTTTTCTTAGGTTTGCCAAATTATTATCTGGTTGTGCAACTCGCTTTGTGCTATACACTTAAGGCTTGTTTCAGCAGTTAGCAAGGGCAGCTGCCATTTTTTCGTAATACTCAGTTTAATAATGACAAGACAGTTAGCAGGGGCTACTGCTACCACGTTGTAAAACATGTTTCAGACAGCTTGCAAGGGCAGCTGATCAACGACTTCGCTAGGTATACATTTATACCAGTTTCCATATATCGAGTATGCTAGTTTAGGAGCAGTCTGCAAGGGTGACGACTGCCTTCAATTTTCATAATTTTTGAGGTTTATATCTCGCGACGTTCTTTCAGAATTTTCTAATATGTAAAATAATACGTGTATGGTTGAGGCCATGTAGCGTTGCATTTTCTCGGGTGGGGAGACTTTTGATTCGTCCCTCGGTGCTTAGGGCGAATTGCAAAGCCTTTGGCGTATATTCCTGCCACCTTTACTGGCTATAGAACACTTATATAATCAATCTAGACTTCAGTATTATTTTGATGTCAGAGAATATGTTATTTCATTCAATATTTTCAATAAAGCGGCTATGAACTATATTCATAGCCAAAATTTTTCCCATAAAAGTGTCGTCTAAAATTTTGTGCCTGCATGCCAGTAAACCAAGCTCGGTTAATGCAACGCTGTTTGATCCTCATAAACTCGAAAGGGAAGGTGGAGACATAAATAGAAATATTTCCCACGAAATATGGATTTTTATGTCACACCTGAACTAATTAGATAAGTGAGTAACAATTTAATTATATTTAATGTTAATCCCTGGCGCGCCTGTTGAAGAGCGAGGAAATTTAGAGCACTTGAAACTACGTACCAGCTGGGCCAAGATCAAGGTCGATCTCTTGGTATTAAACCAAGATAACTTAGATATTTTGCAAGTCTCCAATATCAGTGGTCAAGTGAAGAACTCAGAATTTACCCACCTCCTCCCGCAGGCCTGCCAGCAATATCATAAGCGTTTATTTTGTACCTGATTGTATATAATTAGATATATATGAACTTTTTAACGCGTATATTCCTGCCACCTTTACTGGCTATAGAACACTTATATAATCAATCTAGACTTCAGTATTATTTTGATGTCAGAGAATATGTTATTTCATTAAATATTTTCAATAAAGCGGCTATGAACTATATTCATAGCCAAAATTTTTCCCATAAAAGTGTCGTCTAAAATTTTGTGCCTGCATGCCAGTAAACCAAGCTCGGTTAATGCAACGCTGTTTGATCCTCATAAACTCGAAAGGGAAGGTGGAGACATAAATACATATATACATATATATACATATATATATATATATATATATATACATATATATATATATATATATATATATATATATAAATATATATATATATATACCAAATATGTATTTAGAATCATATATGAGTAGAGTGCTCGATATACCGAAGTATAGAGCTAATATAGATAAAGATAAAATAAACCTGGTTTACTTCATAAGAGTAAATAAATAAATAAAATAAATAAATAAATCTTATGAAGTAAACCAGGTTTATTTTATCTTTATCTTTATCTATCTATCTATCTATCTATCTATCTATCTACCTATCTATCTATCTATCTATCTATCTATCTATCTATCTATATATATATATATATATATATATATATATATATATATATATATATATATATATATATATATATATATATATATATATATATATATATATATATATATATACTTACTATAGTACCAAACATCTGTATAATATATCTGAGCTTTCCTGTGAGATATAGAGGTTCTAAAATCATTTCTTTCACTTCGTCTTCGGGTTGTAAAACAAAAGTATTTCAAATTTTCAAGCGGTTTTTGGCAACACATTGTAACAGTGAATAATTAATTACTGCTTCAGTTAATGGCTATATTAGGCTATATTATAAAACAATTATACCATTCGCTCTCGTCGTATATGGCTGATAGCCGACTCGGTGCTACGCTCCTCGTCGGCTATCAGCTCATATACGACTCGAGCTCATGGTATAATTGTTAAATCTACCTTTGTTTTCCTTCTTTATCAAGTTAAAACCTACTTATTGGCTAAACAACATACCTATTGAAATTTGCATCATCTATATGATATAAATTATACTTATTATATATTCTTCAGCTTTTCTATTAACAAAATATAATGGATAATTAATATTTTCTTCAGTTATCTGACATAATCTATATTAATCTAATAAGAATAAGAAAAAAATTCAATGGAAGCTAACTAGAAAACCTAACGGTTCATTTAGCTTTCAAGCTCTAAAAATGTTATTTAAAATATAAATTCTACCTATGTACCAATTATTTAAGAATTGTGTATTATTTATGTATTTCTATCTAAGAGTGAAATAAAGTTGTATTGTACTGATTCTATCGAAAGAACCTACGCTATATTAGATCTCGTTATCGTCGTAGACAAGTTAACACAACGCAAGGCAACACTATAGCTTATTTCGAGTGACGAACGAGACATCTATTATTAATTTATCTATCCTATAATGGCTTTACAACGCCAAGAGATAATTGGTTTCAACGTGCGGAATGGCTGAAAAATACTATTTCCTCATACGCGCCCGCATTACTCACCTGTTGAGGATTCTATAGTACTTTATATAGATAATTGTTTTGCTCTTTCTCTACTGACATTCTTGCTAAGAATATACACAAATCTTCTAAATTATTTTGATTATATTACACTTTTTACTGACAGTAGTTCAGCCTCCTGTGATTCTGGCTTTTTCCATTCTGAGTTCTACAGATTCTGGCTTTTTCCATTCCGGGATTTACAGATTCCGGCTTTTCTCATTGCGGGTTTTCTCTTTCCTAATTCCATTCCACATTCTATTGAAATTGTCAATTGATTCGGATTCTTTACAGAAAGAATTTACACGAGAGTATTCTCTCCGGATTCATAATTTTTCGGATACGAAGTTCCCGCAAACTTTTCCGCATTCGAAAGTTCCGGATTTAGACTCTCGCTGTGATCATTTCCTACTGGATTCATGTTCGCTAGTGTAAACGGCAAAACGAATCCGATATAAAAACACCCCGGATTCATTGCGAATCCGAAAACGTGTGCTCTACAGGGTGTAGAAAAAAACCCTGCAAACCTTTGAAATACAATGTTTTTAGAATTTGCAAGATTCTCTACAGTACTAATTGATCCCAAGCGTGCGTAAACACAATAGTTGATCCATTCCAGTCGAACTAGTAATTAGAATGTATTTTCAAATTCCAGGAGCAAAATAAGTAGCACAAACATTGAAAAGCTAGTAAACAACAGAATTATGCAAATTATAGTGCTTGCAGGTTTTTTGATACACCCTGTAGTGTAAACGTATACTTATTAGGCCCTAAATGAAATTCAAGATTAACTTGAAAAATCTTCATTATCATCGAAACTGATTGAATCCGCAATTATCCGTAGAAAAGGGATTGTATTTTGTTAAGATGAATGAAACTCATGCACCAACGAAGCGCACGGAGCATGCAGTAGAAAAACCAAAATCCTTTATGATAAAATACATTGTTACTATTACCAATTTTTTTTTTTTTGCATCACTGCCATTCAATATCGTTTACGGTATTGATGATCCAGATCAGCAACTGGATATATTTAACTCATTAATAAAAGATTGCCTTGACAGATATGCACCACTACGCAGATCTAAAATCACGCGCCCTCCTGCACCCTGGTTAAATGACAGTGACGTGAAACAACTTCAAAAAGAACGAAACGAGCTCAGATATTTGGCTCACAAAACAAACCTGAGTCATGTCTGGAATAAATTCCGCGAAGTAAGAAACACTATACAGACAAAGATTAAGAGAGCTTTCTATCAGAAAGCATTATCATAAAAAACCCCGAAAGAATTTTGGAAAGTAATACACCGCATACTTCATCCCAATCCCAAACTTATAAATGCGGATCCCGACCAATTGAACAGCCACTTCAGCTCTACCTCGCAACGTCTACTCGGGTCAGTGTCGACTTCCCTAAATGCCTTGCAAGAACTAGTAAACTCATTACCAGTCTGTATGTCCAACTCGTTTAATATCTATCCAGTTTCCCATAGTGGAGTATTGAATCAGTTAAGAACAATAAGATCTGACTGTGCGACAGGAACTGACCAGATTCCGGTAAAATACCTTAAGATGGCAGCTGATTACATTGCCTCACCATAGACCTATATCATCAACGGGTTTATTGCAAATCACAGCTTTCCAGATGTTTGGAAGACTGCGCGTGTGTCACCTATACCCAAAGTAGCCTCTCCAACTGAGATAGACCATTATAGACCAATTGCTATTCTCCCGGCTCTTTCCAAAGTCCATGAATGCCTCATCCCAAATCAAATTGTAAAATATATTGACCAGCATAATGTATTAAACGAGAATGTTACTGGCTTTCGTAAAGGCCATGCCACCTCATCTGTCCTTTTACGAGTAAGAGACGATATATTAAAGGCTATGAAAAAAGGAGAAATTACTCTTATTGCATTTGCCGACTTCTCGAAGGCGTTCGATACAGTGGACTTAGCGGTAATAATAAAGAAACTTCATGCCATTGGCTTTTCACACTTTTCGTTCAATTGGATTCTTAACTACCTTACTGGTCGGAAACAACTTGTTCAAGTAAATGATAGCCAATCTGAACTAGCAGACGTGTTGTTTGGTGTTCCGCAGGGATCGATATTGGTTTACCGCAGTTTACCGTAGTTGTACCCCATAATACAATGCAATGCAATGCAATGCAATGCAATGCAATGCAATGCAATGCAATGCAATGCAATGCAATGCAATGCAAATTTACTTGAATAATACACATGACAAATACAACATTCAAATCCTGCAATAGCAAGCTAATCGCGGCAGGAAATGAATCGAATTATATAATATTATATATATACAACTGATTTATATTGAGAAGAAGTAAAATAAATTATTTACAAAACGAGAGTTTAGATTCCGATTGGCTATGATAATTTTTAAATAAAAAATAATGACAAAATCATGACACAAATATATTCTTTTTAAAAGCAATTAGAAAAAGTTATGATGAGCTGAAAATTATATCGCGGTTACATTGGGCAGCATTTCAATTATCATGTGTACGTCAAGATAATCATTTTGATCTTGAAGTATGGTTAAAAGAGCTTGATGTATTTTAGATTTAAAAGTCTGTTTACGAGATGAGCGAAGATTGAGATCAATGCTATTCCAAATTAAAGTACGTATATACAGACTCTGGAAAATGAACGCTTTTTTAATTCCAGACGAGAAGAATTGATATATAAGTTATCTTTTGAAACCATTCTTGTATCATAGTTATGATAATTAGACGTTTTGGTAAATAATTTATGTAGTGCTTCAGGCGCATCCCCTTTTAATATATCGTATAGCATGTAAGCAGATTCTTTAACATAGATCATAGTTACAGGAAGAATGTAGGTAGAAAGGAATAGAGGAATTGCGTGATCTTGAAATGATTTGGTAAATAATTTATGCAGTGCTTCAGGCGCATCCCCTTTTAATATATCGTATAGCATGTAAGCACATTCTTTAACATAGATCATGTAACTCCTGGTTGCCAAATAGGGAGCCACAGGGGTTGCAAAAGAACAAGCGTTATTCAAACTCAACAGGCTTGATAAATTAACACACAAAACTTTATTTCAATACAATGATACAGTCACGAAACGTTTCTTGGTAGAAATTTGCTACGCCAATCTAATGGATATGGTAGCGATAGTTGATAGGTTAGCCTTTAGATCAGGTAGCGGGAGATTGTGTAGCGTAGATGCTGTTGCGATATATATAGGTAGCAATATGTAGGTTGCAATATGTAGGTTCGAACTGAAACACGACAATAAATTAAACTACTTAACTAAGTGATATACTTAAGCATGCAATAAACTAACGAATGTCAATGAATAACAAAACTAACTAAACATAAACAAATAAACAATCCAATACTGTAACATACGTACTTTAGTTTACACCTGTACTCCAATAGCTTGCTGCTGTAGATAGATAATTGAAGTAGAAATCCACTATATTTGAATAGGTTGCGTTCGCATGTCCTTTTGTACTACCGTCAATTCAATACTAAAGGGGTGTGACTTAATGTCACGCAAACATACAAGGCTGATATGCCACAAGGGCATTACGTAATTATGATCTACTAGATATCCTGTTTCAAACTAACATTCCGGCCCCTTAAAGGCGTTTTTGCCTTTACAAAGCGTACCGAATAGGGTAGTTTGAGACAGTATAGTAACTAAATAACCAGTTAATGAATGTTCTACTTATCGTTTGATGATCCGGCTGCTTCCAACAGAACAATCTTGGTGATTGGTCGAACCAACGCTGTAGTACTAGTCTTCACTTTCACCGATCGCACAAATCCGTCCTTTCGATTGGAATAAACTTCCAGTACTCGTCCTAGCGGCCACGAACCACGAGGTGTTCGTTTGTCGGCGACCAAAACAACATCGTCAACTGCGACGTTTTGACAGGTCTTGTTCCATACTTGCCTTTCTTGCAGCATCGGTAAATACTCACGAACCCATCGTCGCCAAAATATGTCCGCAAGATACTGGACTTGACGCCACCTACGTTGTCCGTACTGATCACTCTTTGCAAATCGTCCTGGTGGTACAACAGGTCCAGAGCGCAACAGTAGTAGGTGATTTGGGGTGAGGGGGCTTAAATCACGGGAATCGTCCGATAATTTGGTAATGGGCCGTCCGTTGATTATCGACTCAACTTCGCACATCAAGGTAGCGAGTCCTTCGTCATCCAACAGTTGTTCTCTTAGAAGAGCCGTCAAGACTTTTCTCACTGTTCTGATACATCTTTCCCATACACCTCCAAAATGTGAACTTGCCGGGGGATTGAAAGTCCACTTTATACCCTTTTGCACCAAAACTCATGCACTTGATGCTGATTCCATCCGCCTATCGCCTGACGTAACTCCTTTTCTCCGCCGACGAAGTTGCCACCATTATCCGAACGTATTTCTTTTGGCTGACCGCGTCTCGCAATGAACCTTCTCAAGGCGTTGATGAAGGATTGGGTATCCAACGAATGAGCAACTTCGACATGAACTGCACGAATCGCCAGGCAGGTGAACAGAACTCCATATCGTTTGACATTACTTCTGCCACGTCGTACCACAAACGGACCAAAACAATCAACACCAACACACGTGAAAGGTGGCTGTGAAGGCGTAACTCGATCTACTGGTAAATTTGACATTTTTTGTTGTTGCACTGGTGCTTGCCGTCGTTTGCAATCAAAACAGAGACCAACAGTTTTGCGCACGCTCGATCTACCTTTCACGACCCAGTAACGATATATAATTTATCATATATCTAATTTCCTTTGTTACTTTATCATAAGTGTGTAAAATCCTGATGAGTCCACCGTGACTAAATAAAGTTCACAATACAATACAATAGGGTGTACTCTGTCCCAGAATGACCAGAAAGATTGTGAAAGTGTCTTATGATTAAATTGACCACATGGTGTTTCTTTGGAAGAATGATTGGGTGCTTCGCTTCGTTGTCTATTGGTGCCTGTTGCAATCGCCCTCCCACGCAGAGAAGATCATTAACTACAATGGGATCGAGCTTGTATATGTGGCTGCTCTTCCTTATGGATTTTCTCTTTCCTTGGGAATTTTGTGGGTCGCATTGTGCAACACACCTGATTTCGTCGGGGTAAGAGTCGTTCTGCACCAGTCGCAAAATCTCTCTCTCTGCTTCATTCATCTCTTGAACGGTTATCGTTTTAAAGGCTTTAGTGTCATCTTGTTTTTCAGGCGGAGTATCATTATCATCGCAGTCTTTAGCACGTTTTCTCAAGTTAGTCTTGTAGCGGAGTACCCATGCCATTATTTTCTTTAATTTGTTCCACGACGAGACCCGCTCGAAGGCTGTTAATATTGGGTTTGATGTATTCTTTGCCGTGGCGTACACCTTTGCGTCTTTCTTGATTTCTGGATCATCACTTGGAATATCGCCCATATCCGCGGGTCTCTCAGGCCAGTTCTCCATTGATTGAGAAAGAAAGTCAGGGCCGTTTATCCAGCGTTGCATGGCAACAAAGGTTTGAAATCGTTTGGTGTCGTTCTCGATGTATCGCAACACACATGTGCTGTCTGTCCAGAAAAATGACTGATCGACTGGTAGACTTAATTCTTCTCTCGTTATTTTATCCAGTCTTGTAGCTAGGACAGCTGCTGACAATTCCATCCTCGGAATGGTTACAGACTTAATGGGAGCTAATCGTGATTTGCCCATTACGAAGGTGCTACTCGTATTGCCACGGTCGTCGGTTAGCCTGAGATATGCGACGGCACCATCTCCTGCTTGCGAAGCATCAGAAAAGTTGTGAATTTGGCTAGAGGTGATCGTACCGAAGTCAGTCGGTTTCAAACAACGATCGATAACGAATTTCTCGAGCTGTGGTAGGTCATTCAGCCAAGCATTCCATCGTTTTTGGTCTTCCTCAGAGATCACGTCGTCCCAATCGAGTTTCTTACGGCACAAGTCCTGAAGAAACAACTTGGCTTGGAAGATAAACGGGGCTGCAAATCCTAACGGATCGTAAATCGAGCTCACAATTGACAGAATTCCCCTTCTCGTGAATGGTCTTTCTTTAACGGTTATGTTGAATCCAAACTTGTCGGAGGTGACGTTCCACTGTATACCAACGGCTCTCTCAATCTTCGCGTTCTCGAAATCCAACGTCTTTACTGACGTGGCCCTCTCAGATTCTGGCAAGGATTCCATCACTTCTTTCGAGTTTGATATCCATTTTGTCAACCGAAAACCTCCTTTCGCTAGGAATTCACGTAGTTGACTTGCAAGACGAATAGCCTCTGTTTCAGTTGCAGTTGATTTGAGACAATCATCGACATAGAAATTCTTCTTGACAGTCTCTATGGCAGTGAGATCAAACTTTTCTTTGTTATCTTCTGCCGTTTTACGCAACGCGAAATTTGCACAGCTGGGCGAAGACGCTCCACCAAACAGATGCACTTTGATTTGAAATTCTTCAGGGGGTTTATCGAGATTGCCATTTGGCCACCAAAGGAAACGCAACGCATCACAGTCGCTTGGTCGAACTAACACTTGATGGAACATTGCTTCAATATCTGAAATAAACGCGATCTTCTCTTTACGAAATCGAGTGAGAACTCCAATAAGCGAATTGGTTAAATCCGGCCCCTGTAGAAGCTGTTCGTTTAGCGATGTTCCGCGATATTTGGCTGAACAATCGAATACCACTCTGGTCTTGTCAGGCTTCTTGGGATTGAAAACCGGATGATGTGGAAGGTACCAATGGGTATTGAGAGGGCCTAGCCCTTCGTTTTGTACGTGTTGAGCGTAGCCTTTGCTTAATAGATCTTCCATGAATGCTGTGTATTTAGACAACAATGTTGGGTCACGTTGTAATCTCTTCTTAAGAAGGCCCAACCGGTGTCCAGCAAGGATTTTATTATCTTCTAAACAAGGAGGATAGTTCTTCCAAGGGAGTGCTATTTCGTAATGTCCGTCCTTGTGTTTTATGCTGCTTTCCATTATTCTCATTGCCTTTCGATCGTTATGGGACATGGATGCCTTGGGGTCGTAGACCAAATCGTTAAACTCCATGTTGCAAAATCTCTCAAACTGCTGATTCAGCTCCATTGTTGGGTTGGCCTCAACAAAATTAGACGTAGGCACTTGATTTCCGGTTCTGCCCAATGGGCCATTAAAAACCCATCCAAGAACTGTACCTGTAGCAAACGGACCACCGTTGATGCTTCGTCTCACCTCGATTGGTTGTAATGCTTCAGGTACGTCGCTTCCGATCAACAACCCAACCTCAGCGTCGATTTGTGGGATTTCAATTCCCGTAAGATGAGGCCAACGATCAACGTCGTTTTGGGTCGCTATACTGTCTTTCGATATAGGTAAACGTGGTCTAGAGAAAACATTGGGTAGCTCTACAAGGTTTTCTTCCTGAAGATCGAAGACTTCTAAGTTAACAAATGAACACTCCACTGCCGTGTTGACATTCTCCATCGAGATCGAGCTGGTTCAGGAGTTTCTCGGTACAGAACGAAGTATTCGAGCCACTGTCAAGGAAAGCGTACGTTTCGATCATCTTTCCTGTGCCTTTCGCCTTAACTTTAACAGGAACAACGGCCAAACCGGCGGTTGATGCAACTTTAACTGCAGACTGATTTTCACCTTTAATTCTAACATAGCCATTATTTGATTCCTTGCTCGTTGCTTCGACGTTGAATTCCTCGTTCCGTGACTCGGTTGAAAGGTTTGAACTATCCTTTGGCAAGTCCTTGCTCGGTTCCGGGGTTTCACTTAAACGCTGCGGATGAAGGAAAGTTGAATGCTTCTCTTTGCAATCTTGGACACGACAGAAACTTCTTTGGACAATCCTTGACAAAATGTCCTGTGACTAGACAATTATTGCAGAGATTCTTTCTGCGAACAAACTTGTGTCGATCTTCGACCGTCAACTTCTTAAATGCATAGCATTGGGATAGCCAGTGGTTTGAATCACAGGAAGGACACTTGACACCTTTTCTCGTTCCATCTTTATCATCCGTCTGATTACCTTCAATTGCATAGTTCCTTACTTTGCTTGGCTGTCTGTGGTTGCTTACGTTTCCCGTATTCTTACCATCGCTGTTGTTAACCTTTCCAAAAATAGGATGGGTTGCGACTCTTGTTCTGGCAACGACAAAATCCGTCAAATCCTTTACAGTAACTTCTCTATGTTTTTGCTGCATAATAGTGTCGACTAACTCACGCCATTTTAGCTTGAGACTCACGGGCAGACGATCAATGATTCTTCTTAAGGTTACAGAACACCTTTGAGTGTTAATTTTGCCTAAAAATTTTTTATTGGTTTCCATGAAAGCATTAGACTAGTTCTACTATCTGACCAAGTTTGGACGAAAAATGTTGAAAACTCGCAGAGTTATTTAATAAAATACATTTCGCTGCAATAAGAAAAACATTGAAAATGTAATATTCAAATTCAATTTTCTCCCGAAGAATTTTACGGCAATTACTGATTTTCAAACGAGCTGTTCCCCTGCGGGTTTTAATGAATTTTTCTCAAATTTTCACAGGACATAGCTAAAGACGTCAGTTTCAAAAGTGTGTTCGGCTTTGTTCTAATTTTGGATATTTTAATAATATAGAGCAATTCACTCAAACAATTCAGAAATATATTGCAGTCGTCAAAGAAATCGCCATATCAGCGGAATGACGAAATAAACAAAAATTTCCGAACACCATTTTTTAGGACAACTATTTTACTGTTTAAAAATGATATTTTCATAAATATAACTTAAAACCAGCAGGAGCACAACTCAAAAGCGTAACGGTACCGCGATTTAAGATTTTCCTGAATAATTCTTACATTATTTTATTGCTTGTTCATTTTATAACTCTACCATATTTTACATGCACTGGCGAACATTTGGTGAAAATTTGATGAAAATCGGACTGATTTTGAGCGCGCAGTAGCGATTTTTCGCAAAACGCCAAAAAGGGTGTCCTGTAACCTTAAAGTATTTTATTCCATTCATTTAATGTTATTAATGAAGAAAGGTATTAAGCATTTTTTTATGCTTAAACCATTCCGAAGTTACTGTGGTTTTATTCTGAAAAACATCTGCCAGAGAAATTGCTAGTTAGTATACTTCAAAATAAGGTTTCCGTTTTTTTCCAATTTTTAAAATAAGTTAGGGTTAGGTTAGGGTTTAGTTTTGCGTTAGGATAGTTTTTTTCAACGTTATAAAAACGGAAACCTTATTTTGAAGTATACTATCTAGCAATCACCCATCTGCCAGGCTCTATATACATTCGTATGCGAAAGTAGAGCCAATTTGTCTTACCCTCTTATCGTATCAGTAATTCAGGTCCCTCGATTCGCTTGTCACGACATCGGTGAAATTTCACGGTTTCGGGAATATTTTAACTCTTAAAATTGCGATAATATGACAACAAAAAACGAAAACTGTTAAAGGGGGAAATTTTATGGGCAGACATCACTCGTAAAAAGCGAACATACGAGAAAACTGCTCTATCAAACACCACAGATCCTCCCCCCCCCCGGTACCCCGTTTTCTCTAGAAATCCTTAGCAACGCTGGGCCAATAATTGTGGTTTTTTGCACGTAGCAATATTGAAGTTTCTTTGACCAAAGTCTTGTAAAGTGCAAACCTCAAATTTAATTAGAAAATATGCATCAATATAACTCCTTCACGGCAAAGACTAAAAAAGTATAATTATAAAAAACAATTTCTAATGACAATCGACCAAAACCACTCCAATTAAACATTGAACCACTCCAACTAAACGCAGAAAGCATGAAATCAACTTTATTATATAAACCGATGAGTGTTATATAGAGTTTTTGGCCACTGAGAAAAATCGTATTTAAAAATCGTATTTAAACACACGTAAAAAATACGATATTTTTACGTGTGAAAATATCAATTGTTGACGTTTTATTGTTTTTCACTGAATTTTGTTTATATAATAAACAGAAAAATACATGGGTGCTTGGAAATACCAGATTTATTTCTCGTGTCGAACATGATATCTCACTCGTTCGCTGCGCTCACTTGTGAGATATCATGTTCAACACTCGAAATAAATCTGGTATTTCCGCGCACCCATGTATTATTCTCTATATCATAGTATGCACTTTTTAACACTGGATGAGAAAAACAAGATTTAACCACAAGATTTGACCACAATGAACACTGCCAAAAATTCCTGAGTATTTTGACTTAAAACGTAAGAATAAAATAAGGCACCCACAATGAATCAACATTTAGAGTAAAATTGCTCAAGTTTAGACTACTCAAACATTTTAGTAGAGTTTCAAATTCGCTCAATTTTTTTAATGAAGATTTACTTTATACTAGCGGTAAAAAAAAAGGGGGAAATTGCTCATCTATATTTGAGTCAAATTTTTTGCAGTGAATATGATCTATTTTATTAGGATACATGAACTTTAATGAACTTTGAACCAGATTGGAAAAAAGTTGTAACTTTATCTGTTTATCCTCAATAAATAAAGTGTTATTATTATTATTATTATTATTAATGTTTGTTTCATATGCATATAGGCAATATTGTATTTATGATATAATTTTTCCACCAACAAAACAATGAAACAATGATTCCTATATCGCCTATGACACACCAGGGCTCGAATTTCCCTGAAATCAATCAACGGCAATAGCGTTAAAAATTGCCGTAGATCGTAACAGTGGTCTACGGCAATTTTGGCAGTTTCCACGGCCTTTTTTCAAATTTCTGTAATAAAAATTTTATTTTTCGTTACTTGGATTGCTGACAAGCTAGAAACATGATTGCTTGTGATGTTACTCTGAGTGTATATCCACACCGGGCAAGCTTGAAAAATATGCCTGACCACGGTGGGAATTGAACCTACGACCTTTGGAATACTAGCCCAACGCTCTGCCAACTGAGCTACGCGGTCAGATCGGTTCGAGTATGTGATATTTCGGAACAGAATCTAGTTCCTTCGATATCAATGTAATCTAATAATCAGTAATGATTTTTTCTGTGTTAGTATAATGTACTCAGGTGAATATGATTGCTGGAATCAGCTAGAAACATGTTTACGTATTTCTTTAGTGTTTTTGTTTCGAAGAAAACTCAGACTAAAATAGTAGTTTACGTATGATTTGTTCAACATCTGAATTCAAGTATCAAAATAGTAATGCACATTTAATAGTATAAAAATTATACTATACGGCAAAAAATTGCTGTCGTTGCCGCAATGATCCACGGCATTTTGTTCTCCCTCTACGGCAATTGCCGCGATAAAATTCAAGCCCTGTGACACACCCCTTGGAATTCCAATATTATAGGAATTTTTATTGGAAATTGGCCCAAATTCCTTGTTGGAATCCATTGAACATCGGACAAAAAAACTCATTCCCAGTGGAAATTGGCCCAAATTCCAATTGAAATTCCAATTCTAGTGTAAAAAGATATATATTAGGTACAATGCCAGAGATATAAAAAGATAGAGAAATAATATGTCTCTGAGTAGGTACTCTAGAACTAACTCTTGGAAGATTTGGAAGATATTATGTTAATTAAAAGATTAAAAAAATAATCTCAGGTTTTTTCCAGAAACTAAAAACAGATGAAGCATCATAGATATCATAGACTACCAAAACATATGGTTGTGAATTATCCATGTTATGAGGGACAGTAGTTCATCAGCCTATCACCTTCTTGAAATAAACTTTTCAATCAATGTAGAACTGGGATACTGGGTTTATAGGAGGGAGGTGGGTGGGGGCAGGAGGGAGGGGATGGAGCAGGGGGGTGTATACTAAAACTTTGAATCCTGGTATCCTAACTGGATACTGAAAAGGTGTTAAATTTCAAGCCTTGAAGCACCAAACCTCAAAATAATTTTTTCATCATGGCTGTGGTGCCTGACACTTCTCACTTACTGCTAGACATCACAAATATCGTAATATTATAATAATATAGGAAGTCATATTAAAAATGCAAACATATATTTTTAAATATATGTTTGCCAGGCAGCAAGTTGCCAGGCAGCAAGTGCAAAATGTTGCCAGGCAGCAAGTGCAAAAATGAGATTGGGGCAAAATTTTGTTGTGACAGGAAGTTTTCACTAATTTACACTACAGTGTGCACTGCTTAGCTAGCTATTGTTATTTTTTTTAAAACAGAGATATTCAGAGTATTTAATTAATGTATTGTTCACTTTTCATCAATATAGTATCACTGTACCAGACATCCTGTCCAGCGAGGAAAGCATTTTGCCGGACATTTGCCTTTTTTGTGTCGGACAATGTCCATGTCGCACCGCTTATTTTCAGGCTTGTGAACCACAGTAGCTATAGTCCATTATAATCACTCACCGTATTCGATACTTCATTTTGTTGGCAACTTCATCAAGGTTTGTGAGGGACTAGGATGACGAAAACAACACAAAGTTCTCAATTTTATTTTTGAACGTTTTAGAGTGTAAGGGTTGAAGATATTGATCATTTTATAGTGCTAGTATTTCCAAGATTCTTTGCTGGGCCTGTTTTAACCAATTGAGTCACATTGATTGAGCTTACCCAGTAGCGTAGCCAGCCCGACGATTTAGTCCCGCTATGCAAATATTTTTGTGTTCATTAATTGACTGTGAAAACAATCAATTTCTGAAGAAATGAATAATGATGATCATTTTGAATTTGCATAGCGGGACTAAATTGTCGGGCTGGCTACGTCACTGAGACTACCCTACTTTATTATGTTACTCTGTCTAATGCCAGATGATTTCACTCAATCACCGGGCTGAGAGTGCTGTATGGTGCGGCATTCTCAGCAATGAGAATGGGTTAAGAACAGAAGATTGAACTATAGATTGATTAATGTGGGTCCAAACAGCTAGCCAATGTTTAGCTTTAAGCTTTACATGTTTTTATAATAATAGCAGGAAATTGCTTTAATTTTGGAGATTAAATAGCATTAGTCCTATACAAAAAATCCAATTTGGGCCAATAATAATAATTTGGGTCAATTTCCAATTGGAATGTGGGATTTTCTTTTGGAAGTTCGATCGATTCCAATTAGCAAGTTTACATTTCTATTGGAATTCAAATTGGTTCCAATTGGAATTTGGATCAATTTTCAATAGAAATTCACACTGGCATCCAATTGGATTTTTTGTAAGGGATTTCCCCACAATTGCTCTTGCCATATTAGAAATACTAGCATTACTAGGGCCCTTTAGCTTGTGTGTGTATCGCACATCCGGTACTCAAAACTAGCAATGTCACTGTTTCTACATTCTTCAAATTGCTATCGCAATGTACTGTTGTGTATTTGGTCAACATTGTGTGAGCGTCTTTGTAGTAGGAGTTTAGTGGTTGTGTGAACCTGTTTGTTCATTAGGTAATCCCAAATTAGTAGACCGAGGAAGAGCAAAGGCTAACAAAAGAAACATCAAAGTTCTGCTAATATTTGTTAGGTAGTTGTATCTCTCATAATCGACAGCTGTCCTGTTATCGTCGCTATCTACACTGGTGCTAGACTGTTCAAGATTATATTTCTAGTTATAATATAGCATTTGTAAATTCTGAACACTGATTGGCTGAGAGCCGTGCTAATATAACTCAATGTCAACACGGAAAATTTCTTTCTTTTTATTTCTTTGTGCTGAATTATAAAAAAATATAGAACATTTTTCCGTATTGAGAAACAGTTATATCGACACTCGTGGAAATTGGGAAAACTTGAAATTGTGTGAAAATACTCCGCGTGTCGTGTTTCCACACAATTTCTTTCCCCAATTTTCACTCGTGTTGATATAACTGTATATCAACATGTTTTATATTTGTTAAATGTCACCATTTCAATGCAATGTTGCCTGTTTGAAATTTAGCCTAACAGGACCTAACCAGGTTTATAAGGTTATATACCTGCTCGGTAGGGAATATTGTGTTAATATAATCCACAGCGTTGAAATCTTTACTGTCGAGTGGGTCATCACTGTGAAACACCTAAAATAAACAAATGGTGATATCTGTTAACACGGTCAGACTGGTCAGATTAATCAAATTGCCAAATGGAAACTAAACGTTTGAGCTTCGGACAGGTTTGATCAGAACATTTGGATAAAATCTGAAGCAGGTCTGTTTTGGGCAGATTTTCAAAATCTTTGAATAAAGTGTATCAAAGTGCAAACCTCAAACTTAATTAGAAAATATGCCAGTCTAGAACGAGGTTGACCAGTCTAGCCATTGAATGAAATTAAAGCACCTCAAATTTGATATTTTCAAACGGATTGATAAATGTGGTTTACTGCCCCTTAATTAATCTAAGATAGGAGAGGCAAGCAGGGGCGTACACAGTTGGGATCGGTGAATGCAACTCCCCCATTCCCCTGAGAAAATTTGGGTACTTATTTCAGCATATAGATATTACTGCCTCCCTGGCGGAAAAAACCGCCACAGCGAAATTAGTCCTCCATAGCGAAAATTTCACTTTGTTGGGGCAGTTAAGTCACAAGTTAAAACATTTCTCAATGGTTAGTTTTTTTGTATACATTTGACTGGAATTTAAATATGGAGGTTCCCCCTTAATTAATCAAGGATTTATTAACCATTTGGATTATTAAACATTTTGGATTTGAAGACCATTACTTGTACAATTCATATCCAAATAGTCCAATTTCACATGCCTTGTAATTTTACATCAATGTGATATTATATTTATATTAAAAGTATATATCAAATTTATGTACTTTTGTAATGTACTGCAAAATCATATATAAAATGTGTCGTGCTACAAATGTTTGACAATGCACGGTTTCTAAAAATTTAGGCATGAAATTACTCCTCTCATTTGACCTCATATCAAAACGCCATCAATCTGTTCAGTTAGTCTGGTATTGATACACAATGATATGAAACACGCAATGTGGGCGATCATATATTCATATAAAATTTGTCAGTTTATATTATCCAAAATAATTCGGGTATATTTTAGCCACTGAAATTTTCTTTGAGCTTAAAGCAAGGTTTCATTCTCCTAACATCAAACTTACTTCTGAAATTGCCTGTTCAACTTCGGGAGAATAAACAATCGGTTTTGAAAAATGACTATCTTGTTCTCCCAACTCCTCCGCCTCCGCCATCTTGAATATCGCGTGTCTGAACGGGAGAGCTAGGGCGGAGTTTGTGAATATTTCTATGAAAGCTTCAATGATTATTGTGCTTTGAGATGTCTGGCTGAGGGGATTGCAGAAAAAAGCGTCTTAGAAATCAACGAGTCAGGTACGAAATCGATTTCTTTTAAGTAACATGATAGATTAGCTTCCTTTGCAGATAGGGAGAGAGGTTACACTTCAGCAATGTGTAATTTAGGCGGTATTTTATCCGCATTTGTGGAAGCAGCGAAGCGACGCTTGCGAACAGTTATAATGTATCAATTCAAATGTATGACATAGTCTTTAGCACTAATTGTTTTTTTTGTAGTCCGGCTTTCATAAACTATAACCTGCTTTAGAAGCTTAGCCAGTTGTGTGCATTCGTGAGTCATTGTCTTCGAGTTTCCTGCAGTGTATTAAGACGACTTATTTCGTGTAAAATCGTGCAAGTAATTCGGTGTTTAGTGGGCCGAATCAGGCCACTGTGGTAGTCATAACAAATTTGGTCACAGAGCGACGACACAAGGAAATGCTCGAACAATAACATGTAGCCATAATGTTTGGGGCATTCTTAGTGTATTAAACTCGAATACGTGACTTGTATTTGGTAAGCGTGTGGGTTTGTTTATAAGGGTTTGTAATTAGTTGATAAATTTACAAAAGCTTGGCATATTCACGAGCTAAGACGTGACAAGCTCGACAGGTTCTTGAATCTTGTACATCCATATAATCATACGCCAAGTCGCCAACACAAGACCTCAAACTGATTTTCATGCTAACCTTAATCATAGGACTTTAGCTACATGGCGTGATTCATTTGCTACAAATTACTTATGCCTACGTGTAAAAAATGAGATATTTGTTCGGTATGTGCTGGTAGTGTATTGATTATAATTTACGTTTTGTCGCGCTCAACACGGACCTGTCACGAGAAATATTAGTTAACAGAGAAGTGTTAGGTAGTTAATCTCTATTTGTAGATTTTTAAAAACAGGAAGTGTAGAGAAAATCGTAGAAATGTTTTAAGTAAATATTAATACTCATGGATTGTTCGTGTTTTTTTTTCGAATTTTTTTTTTAAAGATATATCGATTTTCGTATTACAATCTGCTGTGACAGCGCGAACGACCACGAAATTCGATACCAAACGTTTCGCCCGCTCAGAAGTGTTTACACGAATTGCTTATAGTGAAAAGACAATTCTAAACGAGTGGAAGGACTGAAATTCTGAATGTAACACCTTAATATGACTAAACACAAAAGCGCACGCTAGCTAAAACTTTTTACATAATACAATGTATTAATTATTAATCGCGGTCTAAAAGACCTAAACAGTGATAGGAATCTTGTAATCTACGTTTTAGAATTCCTCATTGCGTTTTGTAAAGCATTGATTAGAACCATCTGCCGTGTTTTTTTCGCCGGTCAATGTTTCTCGGAATGTTGTTAGAGTTCTAAGCTGTCGTGAGGCAATTTTTTAGAAACGGATGAAAATCCTTTGGGGGTGGGACCGCTATATTATAAAGAGGCAATATTAAACCGGCGAATTAGTTGCGGAAAGTACGTGTCAATTGAGAATTGCAAGACATACTATCTTGAAATTGTAAGTATGAATATATTTCATGTTGTGTTGTTAAATATTAGTTGTAGGTGTTTTAATTATATATTTTTGTCGCTGGCCATGTTGTTGTCGCAGTTCAATTTAGAATTTCTAACTAGCTGCGCATTAAAAGTTTAAACAGTGTGCAAAATTAGACAGTTATTTATTTGTCGAACATAATGGCAATCTTAAGATGGGGAGGGGTTGATGAACAGCTGAGTAATTTGTTAAACATTTTTTCAAACGCAAAACGTCTTTGCCTTTACAAAAGCAGCAATTTTTTTACTTCGAATAAATACAGTTTTGTTAATGATAAAAAAAACCCCACATAATTCATAAAAAGCAAAATTGGCTGTACTGTAGTGTAGTGGATTATTAGTTTACCACGGCAAGCCACGAAGCCAAAGGCCGAACTCTCTAGCAAAATAACACTCGGAATTTAAATATTTCTATGCAATTACAGCGTATGCTTTTAACCAAATTGGGTTGTCATTTACCCTCATATTAACAAAAATAGAATGACTGCTTTTACGATAATTTGACCATTTCCTTGCCGGCTTGATAAATTGCCGTAATTATAATATATTGTAGCCTGAACGACGCCGGCCGACAATATATTCCAATTCTATACATAAGAGTACGAAATTTGATGCTATAGGAATGGATCAGTATTCTTATTTTTCTGATAAATTCAGGCTTAAAATATTTTTTACATACGGTACATTCTTAGATCATGGCGTTCAGACTTCAGTGTGTTAAGGCTTTAAGCCTAGAATACTAGAGTCAAACAAGGACTGAATTGGCAGTCACGCGATCTTGGTTAGCTGTTCTTAATGTTTCTAAACAATGTCATATTCTATTGAAGTTAAAACATAGTTGGAACACTCGTCAAACCTTTCAATTTTGTTAATCTATAGAGCTTAAAATGACCCCTGTAAAGCTGTAACAATTCATGACTGGAAACCGCCTCGTCAACTTTCATCCAAGTTTGACTGGGCATTTATTTCACGGAGTTGTTAGTTGAATCACAGGTCTTAAAGCAGGGGAGCCAGGGTCAGTGATATACTAGTCATAGCAAGACAGCAGTTGAGTCTCTTGCCTTGTAAACTATACAATGTGGCGCTACAGTAGGCCATTAGATTCATTAGTAATCATTACATGACTACTTGACTATTTAATCCTTGATATAAACTTGACCCTTTTTCCTTAATAATTTCGTTTTAAACCACCACAGCAGGGCATATCTTGACTTTAGTATATCCTTAAAATTTTGCTAATTGCAGCCTCGGTAAAGACAATATCATTCTTCTGAACGAGATCACGTATAAAATGAATATAAGTGTAACACAACAGCATCAGCCACAGCTGTCATCTTTTGGCATTGTGATCGTTTTCCTCATGCAAAGTTCCAGAAACTTGAATGAATAGAAAGTTTCATATAAGGCATTGTAATACTAATCATTTAACATTTTAAGCATTCAGTGGGATGCTAATTCTAACACAATTGTCGAGTCGTTTTGAATTCCATTTTTATGATATACAACAAATTTTCCTCGCTTTCATACATACAAGAACATAACAACACTTGAGCCTTGTCGCTCCAATGCTCTAGTAGTTCTATTATACGTGGCAAAGTGTTGGTTTATTTTATAAAACATCAATTAAAACGACAAAAGCTATATATCCATGGCATGCATGTACTTGCAGTCCTAAAATTGGCAGGATTACTGTACTCGGTACCAAGTCATACTTGTTTCAACTGCTTTTCAAAAATTAAATGTGTTAATTGAGGTATATTCCTTAGCTCAGGCAGGTGGAGCCTAGCAGTATAAACATTGCTTGAGGGCAAGCCCCTGCCCATGGAGTATAAGGACTGATGAGCACTTTTGATATAAATATCAACTCATGATCAGTTCCATCGACTATATTACGACGTGTAGTTGCCTGCTATACTATAGCCAAAGACGTGTATTTAAATATAAAATAGTAATAATATTTAATCAACATAAATACATAAAAATCACAAGAGTACATGTATTAATATAATATTTCCATATTAATAAGGAACCGCGGAACAAACTAATAGTAATAACCTACTTTAAATGAGCATACGCCCTGCATGCATGTCATACATTATATAAGATGCGCGGATTAAATGAAGAGAACGAAGAATTTATTTTACAAAGATTATTCAGTATAAAATTAACTTTAAAGTTGGTGAGCTTTGACTTTGTATTGCTGCAGGACATCGCAATTATAGATCACAATGTTTCTATATATTCTGTCAGTGTTTGAAACATTAGTGTATCCACCAGAGGCAGGTTGTTCAAAGCTGGGTTAGTTTAACCCTAGGTTAACCTAAAATTCAAGGCAAATTTCCTGACAGCTTGTCACTATAAATTTGGAAATATTTCTTCAGAGATCTTGTCTGGATGGTTAGGAGTTTACTTCTCTGAAGTTTTGAAATAAACAGACGTGCAGAAATACTCTAACTATAAAACAACAGGTGACATTTTAACGCAGGGTTAGCGCTAACCCACCTTCGAACAACCGGCCGGCCCCAGTAATTTGAAATTGTGGATCAAAGATAGATTGATTTTTGAAAACTTTGGTGTTAATGAAAAGTCTTAATTTTACCATTGTCTTTTACCATCTTGTTCTTACGTTCCTTTATGTATAAATTGCATTGCCTTAAGCCTCGCTCAGAAACGAATCTAACATTGACAGTCATTGTCATTGTTGGTTTAACAGTGTTGGCCATGAACAAAGTCAAACCCCAATCCAAAATCTTGCAACATTACCCAAACATATAGTGTTAAAACGAGGCACCAATGTCAATGTTACATCCAACATGGATGTTGTTGAACCAGTAACATGTATGTTGGCCTCATTGGAACTGGCCTTTAGAAAATTATATATGAGAGTTAGTTTTGTCAAATATAGCGTCCTGATACACTATAAATTAATCTGCCTATTAATAGCACCAATATCAATGCTGTATTCATATAATATTGAATGTAAGAATAGAAGAACGAGGGTATATAACTGGTATTAGCACGTACCTAGCAAACATGAACACGTTTTCCAATGCGTGTTTTCAAACAAAAGTGATTTGTGTTCTATATATTTGAATTGAGGAAAGTTTTTTTTCTATAGCATTTTATTGTCTTATTGTATCACAAATGTGGGCGACTCTAAAATCAGGACAAAATAAAAAAAGTTTTTTATCTCTTTTCAACTAAGCCTATAGGTCAGAAAGCTTTGTGTTTCTTTTAAGGTGGCTAAAAACCACATTTGTGGTGCTTTGATAAGAGCAGATGTATATATAGCGTTGTTGAATAGTTCTTGCTCGCAACAAGAGCCAAGGCCAAGGCCACAGGCCAAGCTGGACCCTGAGCTGCCTGTCCAGCCATGAAGCATGAGCGAAAAGCAGCGGGGAAACTTCCCCCCCCCCCCTGAATGAAGACTTTAATTTAGTGTCATCCAAATGGAATTTCTAACGAGCCCACACCACCAGCCCACACAGATCCAAGTTAATCAAGCAATCTTCGAGTACAATTTCCCGTGAATTCTATAATCCAATAATCCATTGAACAATTCTATGAATACACTGGTGTAAAGATACAGAAGTGTAAAGATTTATCAGACGTGCAGCTGCGAATTTGCGAGAGATATACAACCCACCTGAAATATATATATATAAGCAGAACAAGATCTTTCGTCGAGATCTTTTCGATGAACTAGACTCTAGAGCCTTCTCTGGAAACGTTGGGGTTTGCTTGACGAAGTCGTAATTATGCTTGATGTAGACGTTTCGATCGAAGGCCCTTGTTTTGCTTGTATTTTCACTAATTTTTCAGGTAGTTATATATCTTTCAGTCCGCAGTATGTCTTATTGTTATCGTCATTACTTATATACTGGCAACAAGCGTTTGAAAGATTTATAAAAGTACAATCCTCTTTCTGAGTTTGTTTATATAGCAGTTTTTTATGCATTAACACAACTTGATTTGTGATATCGTGACGTCAAAAATATTTTTTACTTCAAAAAAATATCCTATCATCATGCATTTGTCTACACAGGATGCAACGTTCCTGTCAGAATGTAGTTTTATAATGCAATGACGACAATTGTCACCATGAGTCTATGACTATAAGATTTGTCCTTAAGAACAGGAAATTTGCCAATGGTTCAAGAACGTTTTGAGAATTTTAAGTTTTAGGAATTTATAAGATACCAAGGACGACCTTGCATGTTTGATGTGGAGTGACTGATGTAATTGATATTGGGTCTTAACTTCTAACAAAGTCAAAGTGCAGGAAATAGAGTTATACCCCCACCAAGAATAAATCACATTGGCATTGGCTCATAATCTATAGAATAATGCTAAAATAAAGTCAAGGAGAATGTCCACCAAAGAGACAGTTTTGCTTATACTATTGCAAAGTAAGTTTTGCTTATACTATTGCTCTACATGCATGCCATTAATTTTATAGCTAGCATCAATAATAGTTGTATTAATGTACATTTTGTACTTTTTTTGTTATTTTTGTCAACCGGCAGATGCATTTAAAAATGTAGCTAAATATATAAATTAGAAAATAAAGCTAAAACAAGTCATTTTGGGAAGTACGGCAAAAAGATTTTATTAAAGTTCTGAACGCCTTTCATCGCCAATACGCGATAATGTAGGAAAACAATAATTGCCTCTAAAAAATTGAAAATTGCACAATTTTCGTATTAATAACCTTGAACCTTTTGGGGGGACACTAAAAGAAGTACGGATAAATTTAGGAAATTGCGAAAGTCTATCTCAAGTCAAGATCTCGACTATATGTTGTGTGAATACAATTATAATTGCACAATTTTTTGAACTATATAGTCTATCCTATAATTCGTTGATTTTATGAGCTGAAATTTTTTGGGAACACCTTACCTGATACTTTGTCTTTGATATGACTTTTCTCACTAAGTCTAAGAATTAGTGATTAAGATGTAAAAGGTCATGAAGTCTGTGCAGACTGCCTGTTAATTATCTCAGAGCAAATTTCATTCCTAAAAAACGCTTCAGAAAAGTTTAATCCAATCGCAAATCCAATGCCGACAAAGTATATTTCCTGTATTGCCGATTCAATTAAAATAATTGGATGTACTATTTCACGAAATCAATAAAGTTGAGGAACAATAGAATATGTTCAATTTTTCGCACATATATACTCTATCGCCCGGGGAAGCTTAGGGAACATCTATATATATATATAGTATTGTCATCGCCAGATTGTGAAACGTTGTCATATATATGTTCATATAATTAGATAATTTCGAGTTATACAGTCAAGTATATGTACACTCCTAAGAATATATAATAGAGGCTGATCAAAATTTATGGCAAATTTAAGAATATACTATAATAAGGACATACCCAATATTTTATTCTTAAAGAATGAGAATTATATATAAAGGGAGATTTGGAACAACCATTTGCGAATTCTAGAAATCTTGAATGGCCTTAGTTTCCTTGCGTTTCCAAAGTGAAATTTCATTCCTGGCAATTTTAGCAAGTAAATCATCGTATAGACAACCTCGCACTGACTAATTGGATTATTTAAAACCTGAAAGCTAAATATTGATGTATTCTTTTGTATATTCATTTCTTAATGTCTCTGATAGATTCTTTTACACTAAAATAGTATAAATAATATGTGTTTGATATAGCCTTGAGTGGCATTGGCAAAGAATTCCTTTCCGGACTTTACCGTTTATTCACGTTTCACCCAATGGCCTTGTTTTTGTGTCAAATACTTACTCATGTTTTGTGCTTAGTAGGCTTGAAAATTACTTTGTTATTGAGCCTAAGAACAGCAAAAAACAAATTCGTCCAGGAAAACATGGGAATATAATCTTTATCTGCCCCTGACATGCTAAAATAAGTTAACATGGAAACGAGGCCATTGGGTAAAAGAGAATAATCGGCAAGGTCTATTATTTCATTAATTTTCGGTGGCATTATCGCGAGGACTGAAATTTGCGAGGTCTTTTTATATTGCATTACATCTTGCTTTTCATTTCTGAATGCGTTTCGCTGAAGTATTGTTATATAATTACTTTAATTTGTAATACATATACATGCATAGACTGCTCACACGTTTGGGCCAATTGGGTTTTGTCAGCTAACTGTCCACTTTGATTAAAAATGAGAGGTCTTAGCCTTAGGAGATTAAAAAATTATAGAAATACTTGCATGGCCCCTGAACTAAAAAAATGCCTGCATTTTTTGTTTTATGATTACGTATACATGTTTATATACCAAAAGCATACTGAGTTTAAATTTCTGTCAAGAAAACTGCAAAATTATGTCCAGATAGTTCGAGTGAATCGACTTTAAAATATTCAGGCTTTTGAACAATTGAAATTGCATGCAGGCGATAATTTATTTATCGACCTGCCAAAATTTCATGGCCATATTTTTTTCTATTTCGCACCTTAAATTGTGAAGACAAAGTATAAAGTGCCTTGTTGAATGTTGTGGGCTCGCATTGCGCGGATAAATATAATTGATTTGCTTTGGTGTTGGTGAAAGACACCTCATAGCTATATTTCGCCACAAATGTCAAATAACTTTGTCAGTTTTGATCTGTTAGCCGAGTTTTGTAATTAGATTTCCACCTTTTACATGCGAGAAGAATTCTTCCATTTTAACGTACGGCACCTCTTACCAAACGTTCATGGACCGGCTATACAGTGCAAAAAATCCCGGAGTATTTTGTCTAAAAAGTTAAGAGTTATATAGCACAATGGCTCGAAGTTTTGAGTGAAATTACTCAATTATTAGCAAATTAAATTTACTCAATTTTTTGAGTAAAGTTTCGAATTGACTCAATTCTTTAAGTAAAGATTTACTTTACTAAAAAAACCGAGTTAATATAAATTTGAGAAATCACTCTTACCGTCACGTTTTTGAATCGAAATTTTTTGCAGTGCAATTAATGGATGGCTCATATAGATATATATATATTTACTTAATTAGCTTCGGATATCACAGATCATTCACAAATATAATCGGTACAAATTTCAAAATTATAGTTTAGGTTTCTGTTTTAAGAGTAGTGAACAAATAATTGATGGATGCTTACTAGTAGACTTTTTTGGGGGAGCAGCGGCACTGATGGAGTGATGGAACTGTCCAGTTTAATTTAGGTTTCTTCCTGTAGTAACACTATAGATCAATAATTAAGGGATGACTCTTATCTGACCTCTAGAAGAGTTTAGAAATGACAGCAGAGCTATCCAGTGTAGCTATATAAATACTGGTTATACAGCAAAATTATAGTCAGTTTCGATTTCCTGTCTATAAACCACTTGACCCTATTCCGCATAAAAATAAAAATTTTAAATAAAAAATAATAGTATTAGATAACACAATACAATTACATTTCAACTGTCACTGATGGTTTTCCTATGGAAATTTAGCTAAACCTAAACTAAACTAACTTTATTTATACTGAATAGCTCTATCAGTTCAAAACTGTTCTCTCTAGAGATCCAGAAAGGATCATCTCTTATTGATCCAGTGTTACTACAGGAGAAAACCTATAACTAACCTAACTTTATTTATGCTGCATAGCTCCATCAGTTCTAAAGTGGTCTCCCTACAGAGGTCCAGTGAGCATCGTCTCTTATTGATCCAGTGTTACTACAGAAGGTAAACTAAACTAAACTAACTTTATTTATACTGGATTGCCCTATCAGTTCTAAACTGTTCTCACTGCTCATTGTATAAGGGAGCTTTAATTCAGAAGTGACTACGGGACTCAAGTCTCAATGTTTACAATGCAATGTATTTTACGCCAACGCTATAGTGTTTATATCACGTATTCATGCCATTAATGACAGTGAGTCACCAGAAAAAAATGAAGTGGGCTGGATGACCAGATTATATATATGTTACAAAATAAAATAAAATAAACTGAAACTAAACTAACCGCTTTCGTTATACTGCACCACATGTAACGCTTTTCTCCATGAGAGAGTTGTAAAAGGTCATCTCTTCTGATGTTGACCAGTGCAGTGAAGAAGGAAACCAAAATTATTTTCTAGACTGTTCTCCCAAGCTAGAGTTCCTCATCCCTTATTTATCCATTGTTATAAGTACACTGAGGAATTTCCTCCCACTTGTTAGCGTCCAAAGTAAGGTTCGTTCATTTACTGATGAGGTGTTACTACAGGAGGAAACCTAAACTAAACAAACTTTATTTATACTGTTCTCCCTAGAGGTCCAGTAAGAATCATCTCTTACTGATGAGGTGTTACTACAGGAGGAAACCTAAACTAAACTAACTTTATTTATACTGTTCTCCCCAGAGGTCCAGTAAGAATCATCTCTTACTGATGAGGTGTTACTACAGGAGGAAACCTAAACTAAACTGACTTTATTTATACTGAATAGCTCTATCAGTTCTAAAATGTTCTTCCTAGAGGTCCAGTAAGGATCATCTCTTATTGATCCAATGTTACTACAGGAGGAAACCTAAACTAAACTGACTTTATTTATACTGAATAGCTCTATCAGTTCTAAAATGTTCTTCCTAAAGGTCTATCAAAGTTCATTCCATTGTTATACTACAGAAAGAAAACGAAACTAAACTTATTAATATTATTTACAATTTACACTAGAAAGCTACATCAGTTCTAGACTGTTAAAAAAGCTGTCTCTTATTTATCCAGTGACACCACAAGATGAGTCACCTGTGCGGTTTGGTGAAACTAGAGTATTCTTCTCATGCAAGGTGTATAGAAACTTATATGACTATAAAATTGCTAGCAACAAACCTATATATAAGATATTTTCCCTGCTATCTTAGTCCTGTCACAGAGGTATTATATATTGACACCATGCAGCAACACATAACAATAATCTATAATACGGTCTGGAATTTTCGGTGACATTTTAAGTGAAAATTTTATAGGCATTTACAAGTTACTTAACATTGTATAATGGCTGTAAAGCATTTTATATACCTGTTATAGATAATTAACAGATCAAGCTGGCGTTTTAATATATCTAGCTATACAAAAAAATGAGTTGTAAACTATTGCTAAGTGCCACTTCGTGTTTGTTGCCATGGCAACATCAAAACAGTCCATATTTAGCTCATTTTGGAGTGATCCTCTTAACACTGGCCTTTTTTTGAGGAATGTTTAATGTTTTTATGCACGTACGAGTTTAAACGCTTTGAAGAACTGAATTTGAAACTGAAAAAATGCAAAGTTTGAGAGATAATCTAAAAGTGTATACTTCTTTATGTATTAGGAAGTAACATGCCACTTAAATATGCCTAAAAAAGGGGCCGGAAATACAAAATAATTCATGTACGAAAATATTACGTTTTTATACAGACAATTAGCAACATGTGTTTATTATTTTTACTTTATCTGATGAACCAACTCGCCAGAATCAGTTTGCCGCAAAGCCATGTGTATACTACTATTTTTGAAATTACTTATCAAACTCAGTCTTTGGCCCGAACAAACATGCATAGTCCACTCTAGTCCTCTACTATAAGCAATTGTAGTATATAGCTATCCACTATATGCAAAGGAACTGCTCAAAAGACCTAATTTCATTGAATATTGTTCAGTCACGAGGGTCGGATTTTCTCGATTTTCCAAAAGTTATGTCTACAACCAAAAAGATGGAATGGAATGCCTACCGCAGAAGAATGCAGAATTCATGATACTTTAAAACTTCTTAATAACTTAAACTGTAAACGGTGGAAGAAATTTAGTACAGAATATGTATTTTTATAAATGCATTAATATATCGTCCATATTTTATCGGATATTTCGCTCCAAGAAATTGGCTAAGTTTGTGACTACTTTTAAATTCGAGTTTCATGATAATTTTTTTATTGTATTATTTATTGTATGTAAGCCTGATAGATAGACTCTTTAGTTGCTAAGAGGGATTATTTACTTATTTCTCGTACATTTGAGGGGCTATATGCCTCGTACCCATGTCCTAGGAACGCATAGAAAAGAGCCTGGGTACGAACTTGTTTGAGTTGGGAGTACGAAAGAGAGATTTCGAGGAGATTTCAGCGTGAGCCGTAGAATATTAATACTACCAAACAGGCAAAGCGTTTTAAAAAATGTGCATGTAGGGGCGAAGACACTTATAAACGGCTAAACTGTTTCCTGTTCAAAAAAAGCTCTCCTGCATTGACGAGCTAATCGTCTTGTTACACAGAGTAAACTTGTCTGATATTTTTGTTTGACAGAATAAACTGAATTGCGTGGTTTTTGGCAGGGTAAAATTGTCTGGGTTTTGACACGATAACTGCAGAGATTGGCTAGTATTTGACAGTGAAATTTATCTACGTGTTTAAGAGAGTAAAATAGTGCCTGGTCTCTGACTAGTAGTAAGTTGTCTTGGTCTCTTGGTATTAGACAGAGTACAAATTGCCTGGTCTCTGACTTAGTAAAGTTGTCTTGGTGTTTATATAGACAGAGTAAAATCGTCTGGTCTCTGACTTAGTAAAATTGTCTTTTGATAAACAGAATAAAATTGTCTGGTGCTTTACAAAATAAACTTGGCTTTGTAGACATTATTAATCGTCTGGATTACTCCGTTTCCTCAGGCGTCAGAAAAAAATCAGACAAGATATCGTTGTCTTTACACTAGTCGATTACCAAAGGGCTAAAATAAGACTTCGTTTTCAAGACTGTTTTTCATAAATATAAAAGAATAAGACAAAGTTGATTTTTCGAAAACATCCGGTTACTCATGGGGCCAATTACAGAGAGAAAAATAAACTAAATGGTGTTATAGATTTAATAAAATACTTAAGTCAGACTTATCATGAGGATTTAACATCCCATACAGGAAAGGATGAAATATTTCTGTACAAATCACATAGGCATGCTGATTGCCACGTTTTGATGCTAAACTTCCCTCAGCTGTTGAAGCTTCTATACGCGGATTTCCGCTGATCTTCGAACTTTGTAGTGTTATGGTTATGGATGAATTGGTGTGATAGACCTCTGCGTCTGGTGTTAGATTTCCATGTTATTTATAGCTCGATTTATAGGAGACAGTAATTCCACGTGAGATGGTTGCCAAAATAGCCGTTGTTTCAACGCCCATTTCCCACTCGAGAAAATTTTCCATGTTCCGAAAATATCACAATTTTTTTTTCTTTTGGAATAGTATTCCAAAGGTCGTAGGTTCGATTCCCACCGTGGCCAGGCATATTTTTCAACCTTGCCCGGTGTGAATACACATACTCAGAGTTGTTTCACAAGCATCATATTCACCTGAGTACATTACACCAACACAGCCGGGAAAATTTGTGTTGGCCAATCACAGTTCACGAAGTTTTGTTTCTGCGGAAAATTTTCCTGAGTGGAAATGGGCTTTCACATTGCAGATTTTCTCCGGGTAAAGCGACTGTATTGGTAGGCGATGCCGTTTATTGCACCTTTGCCTCTGCAAACAAGTCTGCAAACAAGTTGTTACACGTCTTTTCCCAAGCTGTCAACAAGTTGTGTTCTCACTGCTTGTTTCCAGTTTCTTGTAACAAGTTTGAAACAAGCTGTTAACAACTTGTAACAAGCTTGATGGCGTTATCAGCCTTGTTACAAGATTGTGCTAAAAAGTTTGTCACAGCCATGATATAACAAGGATGTTACAAGGTTGTCAACACAAGGTTGCCGGTAACGATCTTGTTATATCAAGCATGTCACGGACTTGTCAGAACAACCTTGCAACAAGTCTGATAATTTCGACAAGGTTGTTACAAGTTGTCAACAAGTTGTTCCAAACCTGTTGACAACTTGTGACAAGCAGTGCGAATACATCTTGTTGACAGCTTGTGAACAGACTTGTGGTGTCTAGGATAGGTGTCTCTCTTTGATCTTGAGACAATCACAAACCTATCCTTAACCTATACTGTGCTCGAAACACGAAGAATTATAAGCCACATGAAAACAAGGCGAGGCCACATGAAAACGAGGCCATTCCAGTCTATTTATAGTTGTCCTTCGTGATTTTATTGAATATTCTACAAAATCTACTATTAAAAAATAAAAGTCTAAACACAATATGACAAACACTCACAAGAACAAATACAACAACTGACAAACAGAACCTCAACTAAAGAACAACATAAGCACAATTTGTAGAAGACCCAAACGGCCAAATTAAAGCACGAACGAGACACAAAATCCTATGCACATATAACAGACTCTACATTGTCAACATATTCACTTAAAATATGGAACTACGCCTGTAAAATACTTCCTCCAACCTGCAGCTTCGCCATCATCAGCCTCTCCTCTTTTAAAAGAAACATTAATAAGGGCACGTACAAACACTGTTTAGAGGCAAAATTTGACATGTCTATGTCATGCACGTGGACATTGGTGCCTGACTGCTCTTGCCACAGATTCTAATTTAAAATCTGTACTGTTTATTTCTTGTCAGTCTTTGAACATTATCGTGAATAGGCTAAATTATCTGCACTATTTCCTGTGTGTATGACTGCGGTGTGTTACATAATTCCCGACTCCACAAGTTCTAATCTTACACGAGAGGCCTTCGGGGTATCTAATAACAATTGTCTCATTAAAGCTAATTAAAATTCCCCGAAGTTTTCAACAAAAAAATTAACAAAGTCTAAACAGCCATACTATTGGCCAAGAACCAATTTGTTACACTGTTATGACTCTTGTTTGGTCTTCACGCGAAATTGACATGAACTAGCGAAAACACTATCTTTGACACGGAAATTCTTGTGACCCATAATGGTTCTCATTATACCTTGTTTACCTGTTAGGAGTATAAGTACTGTGACCTCTAATGCAAGCCATTTGCATTACAACATGCAGCATTAAAGTGTTGGCAGATATCGTTGTCGAAGGAACAAGCATTTTGAAACGAAATATATAGTAAGGAACTTTATTTCTTTAACGTTAATTGTTTGAAGTTGTGTACTTTGTATTTGTATCACAATATATCTTGAGAGGTTGAAGAGTTTTGGCTTCCAATATTCTCCGATCTGAGTCGACGTCATCAATATTTGATCTCACCTTCTACAAATCTTCGCCAAAAATGGAGCTCGGAATTGAAATCTTCATGCTCAAGTTAATGTACACCGGGAATTTCACGATGTCTGGAGATTCGGGGCGCAAGTTGTGGCGTTTTGAAAATTTGTGTTTCCTCGAATACCACGCATTTCAGTGACTGGAATTTGCCGCTGCGGTGAACATTTTCGGTACACCGGTGGACTAATTTGAGCACGAAGTCGAAGATATCAATTCTGGGGTCCGTTTCTGCCAAATGTGCATGAACTATGAAGCTGAAAAATCGACTCAGATCTATAGGATTGATTGACGAGGTTATAAATGCATGCACTATATATAGTAGCTGAACTATAAAAGTATAGAATATAATTCATAAGTACTTTATATATTTTCCAACATCTTTTAATGAGCTTTGTGAATATATCCCAACATATGTATGGAATATACTTATAGGAGATATCGAATTTCCATCGAATTTAATTCGTTGAATTTATTTGGCTTCCAAATGTTACGGCACGAAATTCGCTCGAAGTCAATTCCCGTCAATTATACATGCTGTGTTGGCGAATAATAAATTAAATAGCAGTAAAACGCCCATTTCTCTCGCATTGAAAATTCAGAAGCACCAAATTCAACAAATTAAATTCGATGGAAACTGGGCGTCTATAAACAGTTCGTCCTATAAGGCTAAGAGTTAACAACTTTGTGGGGATGTTGTAGTTGACAATTGAGCAGCAGTACAGTAATTACCTATAGAGGCAGATCGACGGACCACACTAAACGTAAGAGAGAGAGTTGTTCTACTTATAATAGTTCGTATATAGACGTAGATTATACCGCTTCTATTTTATGATACTGTATATCAATACATGCTCTAATATATTTCATCCAAATTACCGCGACTTATATGCCGTGCATCGATAATTTATAGCGTATCTAAAAATTGTGTTCGTGCAACGGCAGTATGATACCACAAAAGCAAATCAACTGGAACTTACCACTTAGGTCTTAGCCCCAGAAGTCTAAAGCAGCCTAGGCCTTAGTATACTTATATTTCATTAAGTGCTATCTTACGCCGCTATGCAACACAATGTTTTACACAACTCACAAGGCAATTTTTGTTGCAACTTAATTGCAACGCAATTTCGAATACGGTCATTTTATGAAAACAGTATACTATAGTTTGTAGTCAAGCCACAGTCACAGTCACAGAGAGAGTTGTGAGCATTGCCTACATATTCTACTCTGACAGTTTCTGTCGATACTTTCTTTACATAACATACTTAAAAAATAAAAAGTATACGATAAAAAAATGTCGCAGAGTAAACGGTGTGACATGATTATACAATTTGCGTGGTGCTACTTTTTAGGTCGTGCAACATCGTCATGCTCTACTTTTTAGATATATAAAATTGCGTTGCAATATAGTTGCAGCAAAGATATGGTCCCATGCATCAGTCTGAAGCAGCCTAGTATATAATTCAACGAGTATATAGCGAAGTATTATTATAAATATATGTGAGCAGTTGTAAATTAAATGACATTGATATAGTCTGTTTAGTTCCTTTAATTGTATAATGGGCGGAAGGTCGGTAGCGAAATATTAAACTATATGGGGATGACGTTTTCAACGAAATCAATTACCTTAATATATATATATATATATATATATATATATATATATATATATATATATATATATATATATATATATATATATATATATATATATATATATATATATATATATATATATATATATATATATTATCACCATTCAAAATAACAATGTCAATGGCCAGGAAGTTAAAAACTTATTCAGTAGTAAAAATTTTTATAGCTCTTAAAGGATTCGAAAGCGTGCAATATTAAAATAAATGTGATGTTTCTCGCGTATCAAAATGATTATCTTTATCACCATGCAGATCTTTTAAGAATTAACGCTCATTTTGCCGGTTTACAGAGGAAGCCAATATTTCATAGACATAGGCATGGAGACAAGGCCATGTTGCAGTTATGCGGAAGTTGAAAACGTATGCTGTAGAGAATTATTAAAATAGATGTGATCTTTTCGACGAAACAAATCAATCGGCAATTATATTATTTATCATGGCTGACTCAATTGTTCAAGGAACCGAAAGTGTTAAGTGTTAACAATTTTAAACACGTCTCACGTTTCGGCTCATTTATTTTTTTATTTAAAAAAAGGATCGAGCCAATATATTTTTATGAACTGTAGTATGTGTATACAAGTGAGACAACTCGAATCCCGGGAACTCGATGATTTAAAATTAGTCAACCTTAATCCTACAGTTTCTTATAAAGGCAAGGAGCCCAATATATTTAATGAGGATCGAAGGCTTTGCGATCTCTATATTAAAATACACACTCCTATATAGCTGCCAAATATATCTTCATTCAATTACACAAGGAACTCGCAATTTTACTATGAATCTGTCTGTCCAGATTGTAAAAGCTACAGGAAGTTATTATAGCTGTACGATTTCGTTTGTTTGTACAACCAATATTCAATAAGAAGTGAAATGTTTTGCAGTTAAATTGGAATATTTTTAACGATAATTTCCAATCAGATCAATTATGGGCGTTGTCGACCATGCATTTGAATATTTATGTAACATCATTCGCATTTGTAATTATAGTCGTTATATATTAAAAATAGTCTATACAATTGCAATAAGAAGTTCTCTGTTATTGTTGACAGGTACTCCAAACAGTAGCCAATTTTTAACGGGTTTTTTCCCTTGTATTTAAGAAGCTTTAAAAAATTCACGCCGCTTATAGCCTGTTTATTTCTTTTAGTTTTGTATTATTAAACGTGATATATAGCCCGAAGCTTCGTATATTTACAATTACAGGATGTTTTATAGTTATATTTTCCGGTTTGTTAAATCTGACGACTATTCTAGCTTCGTGTATGTTGAGAAGCAAAACGAGCCAGAGGTTTCAGAATATCAGCTGCCCTTGGCCTTGTATTCAAATTCGTTCGGTCACTATAATTTTCACTCATTCTTAAATTGGCACGCGATTTAATTTCGCGCACGAAATGCGATATTTTCTCACATATTCTCGCAGTTTTAATTTCACGCACATTGCACCAGTACAAAACTACTAGAAAACGGGGCACGAACATTTTTCCTCACCATAAGGGACTGGTCATAATTTAGCAGGAGGGGTGGGGAGGTGGAAACAGTGGGGGGGGGTCACATTTTTTTAGCCAGGAAAAAGGGGGGTTCATAAAATATTAGACAGTTTATGAAGGCGGGGAGGGGGTCTGTTGTTTTAGTTCAATTAATTGTTTTATACATGCCTTCTCACATTTTGTTTGAGTTGCATTGAAAAAAAAATATGATTCTTTAAACCGTAGAATGAAAAGTTTGAAAAAAGTAAAGTTTTATATATGACTATGTATTGGTATAATATAAATTTTAGTATTTGATTTAAAGCGCAACTAGAAAATTAGAAAATTTAAAGTGCAATTAGAAAATTTATAGAATGCAGGGTTTAGTAGTAGGTAGGTACATTTTTACTGACACGTGCAAGAGAGAGGGGGTATACTGACACGAACAAGAGAGGGGGGGGGGCATTATTTTTCCGGGTTATGGCAAAGCAGGGTCACAAAATATCATTCCTTAAAATTTTGAATTACACCTCCCCACCCCCCTGATAAATTATGAGCAGTCCCTAAAACATGGTTAAGCTAATAACAAAGTAAACTAATTCAACTTTGAAAGACAATTTTGGATGTTTATCAAAGCCGTGATAAGATATTTACTAACTCATTGAGTGGCAGCACTCTCCCCCTGACGAGTAAAATCATCTGGCGTTAGACAGAGTCAGTAGGGCGCATCTGGGTGCATTGCCACTTAAAGGGTTAAGAGGATGCATGGGCAGCACTCTCCCCCTGACGAGTAAAATCGTCTGACAGAGTAAAATAATCTGGCGTTAGACAGAGTAAAATAATTGGACGCATATTTACCTTTAAACGAATCATTCCGGTTAACCCAGCCAGCCCTGCTCCATATATATGAACAGCCCCATTAACCTGAGGTATTAGCAATACAATTAATTACAGCACTCAATAATTGTTGGTTCTTCTCTCCTGACGGGATTCCCACTTTAATTTCAACAACGTTTCCGTTGTGAATGAGTAATAGCTGTTGTCATGTGATAATAGCGGCTTTATTCTGCAGTCTAGCCGTCTTAATTTGTAATGAATGAACTCTTTTGTAATCTTCAAAACAACGTTTTAATTACCCTAACAACACAATTTCATTTCAGCAACAAAGTTCTGACTTTCATCATGCAGCCTTGGCCAATTATGGAGTTTTGTAACCAATTTCATATAGTCTTTGTTTTAAGACGATTCCGCATCAGTTTTGCATTGGGCACTTTTACTGCGCATATCTAATAACGAATTCTAGCTAATATGTGTAGTCGAACTGCATTGTAAAGTGATAAAGAAAGAGTAAGGGCAAAGAGAAAAACACTCTGCATTGATTATAGGCGTTCTTCAGGAAATATTACTTCAAAAATGACAGAACTCTGGCTAGGGTTCCTGTGCAACTATAAACACTAAACCACATCATGTTACATGTTTAACCCTTGTATCTTTTTAAGAAGGTCCGTGACCCTATTTTTTATTTTATATTTTTGTTCTTCTATACGTTTTACATGTCATATCAGAAAATAAGAGAAAAATCATATCTACAACTTATAATATTTTACATTTTTCGCGCATACTTCCCAAAATAACATGTCTGAGAAGATGGGGAAATACATCTTTGCACCACGACAATGCACGTCAATGGTTTTTTATTCGCTAAAATACCATGTTAATTTTCTTGTATATAATCACTAAATAGACATTTTTAGTAGGATCCTTGTTAAAAAATTAAATAACGGTTGAGAAATTGCGATTATTCCTGTAACTCGTAATAGGGGCAAGATGGCGCCATAAGGGGGAAAAGGTAGCATATTGCACTTGTCATATCATGTCTCTGTTTTTACTATGAGCATATCATAAACTTCACTCCTGGGAAGTTTCGGCAAATTCTCATTTAGTAATAAAATTTCGCCCTGAAAGGGTTTTTCAGAAATTATTTACAATTATTTAAAACCATTCATGCACAAAGTTTAGTAAGTTATTAAACGCTCTCCTTGGCAAATGGCAAGCAAATGGTTTTTTAAGTGAAGATTTTAAGGGAAGCGCTATCTTTCAGGTTTTTATCTAATGAAATTGTTCCAAATGTGGACAGCTCTATAGGCAAACGACCGTTGACCAGATGTAGTTTTTCAGAGTGGTATTTGCAGAGAGTCCTGTATGCGAGTCTGATCATGACGTTTATGGATTGATGATCTTTTTCTAAGAACAATTACTGATGAATCACCTTAAAAAGGTGATTACTGATTAGTTCAGCCAGATTTTCGTCATTGCTACTCATTCACTAGGCATACGATATTCAGAGACGAGAAAGTCTTCATTTCATCTTAATGATAAACGGAACCTTTAAAATTTCGTAAGATTAACCTTTCAACAACAAGGAAATTGGCAGTTTGCCAGCAAAGAATGTGTTTGAATTATGACGCAAAGCCAAAGACCAAATAATTCACGCAAGTCGTTTGGAAATGAAAAACATCGTCGTGTAATTGATCTAGGCGAATTTAAATAACGGCGGTATTTCTATCATAATTTCCATCATTGACCTTCGTCCTTTTTATACTGAACTAAATTTAGAAAGAGGAGAAACCATTAGCCATATAATTTTAAACACTGATCTCGGAATACGAACTGGATTGTACGTTGAAGTCAATGGCGGGATGGCGGGCATGGACTGTTAATTAATACGCAGAGATTATTATGGATGGCGAGGGGGATTACGGGATAAATTCAGTCAAACGAGAAAGGGACAATGCTATAATTGCTATAATGGGGGAAAATTTTTATCATTTGACTACAATTCATGTACATGTATCAAAGAAGCTCTTTATAATCTGTAAATATGTCTCAGAGCACTTTTCGCCTATGTTGCTATAACCTTTCTATAAGGCGTTCTTTTCATATATTATTTGTAATCTTAAATTGATTTTCTGCAAAAATAACTTATTTTTTGTCGATGTCGAAGCAAACAAAGCCGGTTGCGGCGCACTATTCATACGTTTAAAAAATTACAAAATACATATAATATATATACACACGCAAAAACGCACAAGTTGTTACAAGTCTGCAAACAAGTTGTTACAAATCTGTTCACAAGCTGTCGACAAGTTGTGTTCGCACTGCTTGTTCCCAGTTGTTGTAACAAGTTTGGAACAGGCTGTTAACAACTTGTAATAAACTTGGTTGCATTATCAGACTTGTTACAAGGTTGTTCTAACAAGTTTGATACAGTCATGATATAACAATAATGTTACAAGGTTGTAACAATATTGTTATATCATGACTGTATCGGACTTGTTGGAACAACCTTGTAACAAGTCTGATAGTATCCAAACTTGTTGACAACTTGGGACAAGCAGTGCGAACACAACCTGTTGACGGCTTGTTGACAGACTTGCTACAAGATGTGAAATTTTTACACGTGCATTAGACTTTCAACAATACTGTAAGTGTAAGCTTGTTATAAATTAAACATAAGCTTGCGTCGCTGTTGGTAGGAAAGCGGAATTTTCAACTGGGTTTCAAATGAATCTGTAAACCGGTTAGGCACCCAATGGTTAAATCAGACATGATTGCACACTCTCCTTCGCAGAGGCTTTGTGTTTTGTTTTGGGTTTTTTCGAAGTCTGCAGGCGGGATAGTCGCGGGCTAGGCAGGCTAGGGGAAAATTATAGGGGATAAATAGGGATGAAAGGGGAGAGGCGGAGCTAGCCCGCGACTATCCCGCCTGCAGACTTCGAAAAAACCCAAAACAAAACCCAAAACCTCTGCGGAGGAGAGTGATGATTGCATCATTTGCATGTTGAAATGACACAGGACAATTAGCGAGCTAATTTTTAAAACATGTTGCTTTTGAAGCGACCCGTGACCTTTTAGATCGGGGTTTATTTGTAATCAAGCATTTACTGCGCCTCAAATTAGCTAGATTTAATGATTGCATCGTTTATTCCTGAAATCATGCCGGTAAAATAATATTTAGAGTAGTTTTGGATTACAGGATTATTACAGGATCTTTATTGATTGATTATTGCACTAATAGAGTAAAATATGAAAACAAAATAGAATAGATTGTATAATACAATTCAACAAACTACAGGATGCATAAAAAAAGTAATCGCCCAACTTTGGCCTTTCAACTATAATTATAAAATCATTATAGATTGACTTTTTTTCTTGTCAATATTATAAATCCATTTGGTCATTTTTGTTCTCAATCATACAAAAAGATGCCATCTGACAGCTAAATGTTTGATCTTTGTTGGAATGAGAAAAGTAAATATATCTACCTAAAACCTATCGCAGTTGGATTAGCTTTTTTTCATACATCCTGTATAAAAAGATAAAATATAATAGCATGAAACTTAATCAGGATTTTTTATTTTATGTATTTTGAGTGGTACGAAAGTGTTTCTCATTGAAATGCCACTAATTTGCTTGTTGATGTAAAATTTTGAAATCAAATTGTCATGTGTGGACGTTGACAGTTGTATTCCAACACACTATATCTGAAACCTATACAATCTTGGACATAACTGGTTGAGTTATCTTTCCCTCATACAAAATTCGCTTAATGCAGTAGTTCAATAGAAATATTATTATTATGTCTAATAAAACATGTTAGATCTTGTTTGAAATAATCCATGTTAAATCATGTTGTGCTTCTTATTAAGTCCCCGCTCGGGGGACTCAATCGGTTGAGCTTGTGTCATGGTAAATCACTACCTTAGGCTTAGGAAGCAATTTTGTATTGGGGGAGGGGGCTGATTAGTCAGGGGCGATTATTGGGTCATTATTTCCCTCTCAAACTTTACAATTATCGCTAGTTTACAAATTATTGGGGCCGGGGAACTGAAGAGTCCCTCGGTGTCTACGGCCCTGTAAATTACCAAAGTTGTTTTGGCGTTGTTCACAACATTAAACTGGGGAGAGGGGGTGACAAAGTTTGAGTTTTGCCAATGTGCATTAAACAGTTTGCAATATTGGCTGGAATGGTCTCAAGGGTTATGTGTAGCTATGCAGAAAGTCTTACGTTTGGTTTACACATGAGATTTTTAGGAGAGAAGTCTTCTGCGCCTGAATCCCTAGCTTATTCTCATTTTGATCATTATTTGTATTTCAGATTATGAGTGTTGTGTGTTTGTGTTAATATGGTGGATTACGGTCGTCCTACAATGATATACCTCGACGAAGATCCAGCAAAGATAAGCGAAAGATTTAGAGCGTGTTTTTGTCCGAGCAGAGAACTGAGCCATAGCCATAATGTTCACCATGGTCATCTCGCTAATATGTACATTGGGGAAAAAATGGGTGAGTTGTGTACATTATGAATGAGTTGTGTACATTATGGGTGAGATATGTATGTTACGGGTGAGTTGTGTACATTATGGGTGAATTGTGTATAGTATGGGCGAGTCGTATACGTTATGAGTGAGTTGTCGTACATCATACTTCATCTGAACTGTATAGTTCTAAACTGTTCTCTCTTAGAGGTCCAGTAAAACTGGACTATCTGTTCAAAACTGTTCTCCCCAAAGGCCAAGTGAAATCCATCCCATGGGGGTGACCTAACCAGAACTCTATCAGTTTTGAGGGAAATGACAGATCTATGTATTATAAATGCAACTAGTTTCTAAGAAAGAACGAGAAAACAACATTGTTTATTTTCATCAAATTAGAACGACAAGAGAGACCTCAACCTACCCACTTGTCTGCCCATCATCAAAACATGCTCTTTAACAGTAAGGACCTGGGAGCTAGCTTGAAAGATCGCGAAATAGAGAAACTCAGTCCATTCAGTATTCCTGCAGTGACGTCAGCGGACATGTATAGACCGAGAGAGAAAGAAATGCCCACGAGGACTGAGGCGAGAAAGAGATACATGTGCGATATATGCAGAAAGAGTTTTCAGCAAGTGTGTCAGTTGAAACAACATAGACGGATTCATACAGGTAAGAGAAACCATATTGATTATCAAATGAATATGTAATCTTTATTCCGACAAATAACTTTGGGATGTATCTAGTCAGTTTGGGTGGGGAGTGGGTGCTCATCGAGTTCAGGGTGCGACCCTTGACTAAGTGTGTAATCGCTTGAGGGAGCTACAACAGCAAGACAATAGTCTGTAGTCTGGCTTGACAATTTCACAATCATGTTGCTATCTCATTTTGCCTCTATTTTATTTTTGTTTTTGTCATTGCCTTTCCAAATAAAAAAAAATGGATGTGATAAGGAAGTTTGCACCCCTTTTGCCAAGGCCAGGAGGGCTGCGTACCCACCTCCACACCGCCCCCCTCCTAGTAAATCCATCAGTGGACTGCATATACTAGAACATGTACAACTTATCTACTCGTTCACAATTCATCATCAGAAGAAAATGACACTAGAAGTCTTGAGATGCAAATGACTCTCGGGTCTTGAGATGCAAATGACTACACCGAGGCAGTCACCCTCAGTCAGCTCTCTCTCTCTCTCTCTCTATATATATATATATACAGCTAATTCAAAAAAGGTTGTCCTTTGCAAACCTTAAACTCTAAACCATAAACCGTAAACTCTAAGCGCGCAAAGCTTAATGGGAGCATCATTAAATAAGTTTAGAGAGCTTATAGAGACGTTGTAAATATCTCCTTACGAGAACAATTCATTCACAAATAGCTTGAAACTTGTGCTCCCATTAAGCTTTGCGCGCTTAGTGTTTAAGGTTTAGAGTTTAAGGTTTTTCAAATGACAACCTTTTTGGAATTGGCTGTGTATATCTGGTCAGCCTGTTTGTCGGTTAGCCAGCCAGTCAATCACAGCAGTGGCTGACTACAGTCATTTCTTCCTAGGTGAAAAACCTTACAAATGTAACGAGTGTGGAAAGGCATTCACTCAAGCCAGTCAACTGAACCAACATGTCAGATTACACACGGGTGAAAAACCATATTGCTGTGAAATTTGCAACAAACGTTTCACGCAACTCAGTCAGCTGAAATCCCATAAACGTACACATCAGAGCAAGATGGTCAGACATGGTTACCCAGACAACGGCTTACGTCACGACTACGAAGACGTCCCGAAGCCCGAGAAACGAGGACGACCCAAGGGGGCCGTGTATAGCCACAAAAGGTACAACCCAACAGAGAAACTAAAACCGTCCCATCCTCAGACCTATACTAACGCGCGTCAAGACCCACGGGCGAATTTTAATACAGCCCCCACTTCCCACTTTGAGTATCTTGCTCAAATTAACGCAATGCAAAGAATGTAATGGGACCCCGCAAGGGGGAGGGCGCCCCTGGGCAAAGGGCAACTCCCCCACCTACGGAAACCTACCTACCCTCACTACTTACCCCCACCTACCTCCTCCACCTCCCTCACCCACCTACCTTCTTCCACCTACCTCCCCCACCTACCTACCCTTACAACGAATTACGGACGTTTCCTCATAGAGGCGAGCCTGGCTCAATATTTTCTTCCACATTACCCTGTAAGGGTATAAATATATGATAGACTTTATAATCATTGTTTAATTTAGTTAGACTCTATTAGACTTGATTAGATACTGTATATTAGGGCTTACCTTGGATGCATTCGTCTACAGCTGTATACGTGTTATTGAGTCGTGATTAGATTTGTTCCCGTTAATTGTCGATTTTTTTGGTGTTTTGTATTATTTTGGTAAGGGGGGTAGGAATGATACACGGGGATACAAAGTGATAGCTAACCTCCCATTCAGAGGTGGAAAATGTTTTTTTCTTTCTGTGAACGTCATTCTGTGAACGTGGGTTTAGGGCTTAGATTTTTTTGAAAAAAATTTAAAATAAATAGGGGAAAATAACAAAATTGTCGTTTGTGATTGTCTTATAGTGTTATCGTGTGGAGCAATATGTCTTTAAGACTAATAAAGGCATATATGACTATATGAATATTTTTTATGAAACTTTCCTGCTGTAATTTAGGTGTCGAGTTAGTAAATTAATTAGGTCTATAATCTTTTCAATAATTAGGTATATTTAGTCATATATTTAGATATTCAATCATTTAATTTTCAGAATTGGCTGTGAAACATAAAAAAATGTCTGTGAAAATTTCTGCAAAAATGTTGATCCCAAAAAAATTCTGGGAACTAGGTTCCCAGGTGGTTCTGATACTTTTTCCACCTCCAATGAACCAACTCAATCCATTAAATTCATTCCTGCCCTCCTTACATTAGCCCTATTTATACTAGCAACGCTTCATCCGTTTGACAGATTGTCCATCTTGCTATAAGACGAACTAGTCAAGCGAACTGGCTAGAATACCTGTTTGCCGCTCTTAAACACAGATAAACTATTAAACGAACTATCATATCTTTTCCTTGTCCAAATTCTTCCAGATGGATCATTCGTCTCTATTATAAATCGGGCCATTAATTTGTGCCGACCATAAAATTAAATAGATAGACCCTAAAAATTAAATGTCTTGTATCGGCCGGTAAGGTCTATCCTTTGTGCAAAAATATTGTAGTTTGAATGAAACTAATTTATTATGTAATACGGAATAGTTTAGACTAAAGTCTATAGTTAATTTTAAAAACAGTTTTGTGAAACGTGTTCACTTTAAAACATCGAGTTTCTGCTAGCTCTTAACCGCTCGTTCTCGCTGTCTGCACTAAAAAAATTCTATATATTAAATTTCGCCAATTTTTAACTTTTAAAAATGTAATTAATAGACATTTCTGGCTGGCAATGAAAATTATTTATACTTAAAACAACTCGTGCTTTCAAAAGATTTATACACTGAAAAATTAATTCAATTTTAATATTTGGAAAGATGATTAAGTTGAAAAATATTAACTCAGCTTTTTCTTGATATTGTCATGAAGTCGTGAACAAGTTCAATTCACCTGACTCATGCAAGTTTATTTTGAAACCGCTAATTATGCAAATATTTGAACATGCTAATTAAATAATTACTGCGAGCGATAGTTTTGCTTTTCAATACGTTATAGGAGCTAGTGGAAGAAGCGTAAAATTAAAGTATTTTATTGCTCTATTTTATTGTGAATCAAGCTAGATGACGTAGTCCTCTATGTCATGAAATTATGTAAAATATTGTGTCAGTTGTAGTTTTGTGATAATACATCCGTTGCAAAATCAAGGCTTTGCTGTATGTTGTGTGATTGTGAAATATAACGTTTTTATCTGTATCTCACAACTTGTCAACAAGATGTGTCCGCAACAGGCTTGTAGCAAGCTTGTCGACAAGTTGTAACAATGCTGTCATTTTATCAACTTGCTACAAGGTTGTCACTCACAACTTGTTGACAAATTGTTGAATTGCAGGACGATAACAAGTTGTTGGAACAACTTGTAGCAAGTCTGGTGAGCACAACAACCTTGTAGCAAGTTGTCAACAAGTTGTGACAATGCTGTTTTTTTATCAAGTTGCTACAAGGTTGTCACTCACAACTTGTTAACAAGTTGTTGAATTGCAGGACGATAACAACGATAACGATAAGTTGTTGGAACAACTGCATGAAATAGCATTTCGCAGACCTTAAAAATGGATAAATTCTCCATGCCTACCGGACGGCTAGGCCCCATAGTTGTTCTGTGTATTCGACAATAAAACCTCCCCCTCCACTTGTTTTGGGCTGGCTACGTCACTGCTGCCACACCCTCCTCACGACCCCACAATCTCAGGGCCTTTTATTAACTATATAACTGGGGCAAAGCCCCCCCCCCCTATTCGAGAACCTATAGATTTGAGTTGTTGGAAGGCTAGACTAAACAAGTTAGTGATCGAATTGTGGTATTTACATAAACATACCATGCAAGTACTTAACTGAAGATTCAGTCAATCTCCAGTATAATGTAACATAACGTAACTATATACTGTATATACGGAAATGTTTCAAAAAACGCAGGAAATGCAGTCCCACTTGTGGAAATATACAACATTTTTCCGGGGAAGAATTTCCCCAGACCCCCCTACTATTATATACGGACTCCACACCAAACCTTTTGTCACCAACAACAATCTGTCATCTCTCCACACTCAGTATAGTATTGTCCCTTTTTGTAGATGGCCACCAGCCACAATCTGCTAAATATTGCTTAAATTCGCCGTTGTTTCCACCGAGTTACACACATAACAATCTCATATCTTGTAGCAAGTTTGTCAACAAGCCGTCAACGAGTTGTGTTCGCACTGCTTGTCCCAATTTGTCAACAAAGTTGGAACAAGTTTGGAACAAGCTGTTAACAACTTGTAACAAGCTTGATGGCATTATCAGATTTGTTACAAGGTTGTTCCAACAAGTCTGATACAGTTATGATATAACAAGAATGTTACAACCTTGTGTCGTCAACCTTGTAACATTCTTGTTATATCATGACTGTATCAGCTTGTTAGAACAACCTTGTAACAAGTCTGATAATGTCATCAAGCTTGTTACAAGTTGTTAACAGCTTGTTCCAAACTTGTTACAACAACTGGGAACAAGCAGTGCGAACACAACTTGTCGACAGCTTGTGAACTGATTTGTAACAACTTGTTTGCAGACTTGTAAGAACTTGTGCGTTTTTACGTGTGTAGGCCGCAGAGGAAGCCACTAACTGGACAGGTGCGTACTTGACTATACGTGTTTTATACAATTTAAATGAATGACTCGCAGTTGAATTATAGCAAATTTAATGAAATAAAGCTTACTACAAAACATTTCTTGACATACAAAAATTTACAATACAAATTGAGAAGTAGAAAAATACTCAGTTATCTTGCTCGCAATATGTACTATTTACAACAATTTCTACAGATGTCTGCAAAAACGAACAAAAATCATGATTGAAAGAAACAAGCAGGACCAAACTGTCAGAACAGAATCAGTGCACTGACCGCTTTGTTAGAACTGTATGCACATTACTCTCTTTGGTATAACTGTATGCAGTGTTCCTTATTGCTATGTAAATAAGCATTTGCCATTAGACGCCTTAAACCTGAACTTAATCATGGAACTAAGGCATCAAAAGAAGTTATAATATTTAACTAATCTTTTCTGTACATATCAAATTACTTTAAATTTATCTTCACTATATATATCGATGTAATGTAACCTAGCATCATTCCTGATCATGACTGAATCTTAGGCGAAAGCTAGAATATTAAAATGTTTATTTTCGGAGTTACCGTTGTTTTATATTATGTATAGATATGCTTCTATTGATATTCATTGATATATTAAATAGGACATGGTCGGGCTGCCTGCGACAAAACTGGGTGACGCTGTCTGGCGGGTATAAGGGCTTGAAATGTACACAATGAATGAAGTTTGAACGAGTTTCGAAACATAGAAAACTTTGATAGAAAACATGCTCTCTAATTCTCGGTTAGGGGAAAGTACATATGGCTGCTAGTACAAAATGTCAATCATTTTTTTGCCGACATCAGTAGAAAATTGAATGAGCGTGAAAATTAAATCATAATATGTACACCTATAACCCCCATGCCATTCCACCCTTCCTCGGATCTGACGCACCAAAAACAGTCCGTTCACTCGGATTATACGATACGGCTTGGACAACCGACTTTCGATTGGTTTCTTTACATAGATGCCCCTTTTCCTCGAGTCCTTTCTGTATGGCTTGACTGACCCTGAATGGTTCGTTGGCGTTGATGTCTATATTGTTTGGAATGAATTGATGATGCAGTCGTGGGGTTGCTACAGCAGTTTCCAAAGGAAGGCCCATCCATAGGTTTAGCATTGAAACCTGGTGAAAGGATACAACAGTGAGATATGATATTTTCAACGGTTGTAATAATGTTTCAAACACTGTATGTAATCATGATTTTTCCTGTATTGGTGTTATGTACTCACGTGATGTTTGTGATGTTACAGGTGTATGTGCCTAGGGTTGGGCGATATTTTGATTTATCGCGATATTTTCGATCACAATTATCGTATCGAAGGTAGAAACTATCGTCATGCTCGATGACTATCGTGATATTGCTTCGCATGTGTATATAGCTGTTATCAAATCCTAAACAATTCTTTCAATTCCCTAGAAAATATAGTTTTTAAAAGAATTAAAACTATTTCCTGAATTAAATACGAATTTAATCCAGATGATCTTGATACGCGGAAAAGTACTGGCACTAGTTGTCAAATAGAAATCCATTTTATGATTAAAACAACGGAATATCTCCTGTAATATACTTTATTTCGATTCCATATTTTTGTCAGAGCTATAGTTCTCATAACCAAACATAATTACAAAATTTCAACTAGTTTCATAAAGAATAACGAAAGATATAATTGACTGAATACATCAAAATGGATTTCTATTCGGACAACCCTTTCTGAGCGCTGATTGGCTAAAATACGAACTCGAGATCACCTGGATACGATACAAAAGCTAATATTTATGTATTAATCTGCTGAACAATGGAATTGCAGGCTTTGCTTGCGCTGTGTGCCCACGGCATTTGTATACCAGCGGAGACACAGTAGACACTGCATAGACAGTTCCAGTTTATGAACAGTAAATATTAGACTAGAAAAAGCATTCGTAGTACTTTAATTTGTTGTTTTACTTGTTGTTAAGAAGATTATATATAAACTTGCTATGTAATGATATTAATTAAAATTGAAAAAATGTGGTCATTGCTTTTATTGCATTTATCGCGATATTATCGAATATCGTGATAATTTCCTTGGCAATAATCGTGAGGTGATTTTTTTAATATCGCCCAACCCTATATGTACCACAGAATACCGCAAAAATTTACGTGTTCCATATCTTTTGTCTAATGTATATAATATGGTTCCTTAATATTTTTTAGTATAGTCTATCGATATATTTTTTCTTCTTGGGGGTTTTGGGGCAAGATTTCATAGACTTAATTATTCCTTTTTAAATGAATATTCTGTGGAAAAAAATCCAATGTACCACAGAATACCAGTGCAGAGGTAAGTAAGCAACGGTTTATCAAATTGTACCAGGATTTGGCGTGTCATGTTGTATGATAATACTGTGGGATATTGCACTAAAATATTGTGGGATATTGCACTTAAATACTAAAATCAGTACAGAATACCAGTGGTATAACCAAAGAATACCAGGTTTATCAATAATCTTGAAAAATTCAGTTTTTCAATGGTAAAATTGATTACACTGTGTGATTCCATGCAGTGTAGTAATAATGTTGTGTTGCATAGAAAAAGTATTGATCAACATTAATTATGCTGGTTTGCAAACTTATTTTTAAACATTCGGATTTTACAGGCATTATGCGAAAAAAAGTACCGAAAATATAGAATGTTACTTCTTGTTAATCCTGATTATTTTTAAGAATTTTTATGAAATTGAAAATATACATTTTTTGTTTTTATATGTCAATTAAGACTAAAACTAAGATATAATCACAAAAATAAAGTATTTCCTTCAAATTTTATATAAGAAATAAATAAGACTGGTATTCTGTGGTACCGTGGTATTCTGTGGTACATACACCTGTGCTCTGAGTGTATATCCACACCGGAAAAGCTTGAAAAATATGCCTGGCCACGGTGGGAAGCTTTTCCAGTGTGCATGGAAAAGCTTTTCCGGTGTGGATATACACTCAGAGTAACATCACAAGCATCAGTGTATGTAATGTTTGAAACATTTGGGCCCAAATGTGGTGCATTTTCCCGTGCGTAATACAAATTAATACAAAATTTGCAAATTTCGTAGGGCTATATTTTCCGCATTTTACAACATTTCGCGGCCAAACTTTGCAATTTTACTAATTTTAACATGCTCTTTCTAGCTGTGGTGATGGATTTTGTTCTTCTTGCCTAGATCAAAATTAAGTCTATAGCTGGAGACCTCTATTGGCAATATTATTATGGTAGATGGCGTACATCGTGAAGAAAAAACATTGAAAACACGACATCAACTTACCCAAGCGGTAGACGAAATAATCCTTGAACCCCCAGCAGCGCCAATGGCCAATCTGACGTCACCTGTCTTCTTGTCCACGAAAATTGTCGGACTCATCGACGACAGGGGTCGTTTACCCGGTTGGACATAATTATTCTTCGATGGCTTGTAGCCAAATCCGTTGGATTTGTTAGGAATTGAAAAATCGTCCATTTCATTATTGTACACTATGCCTGTCTCTTTGGAACGGAATTTACCGCCAAAACTAAACGATAAGGCACATCTGAACTTAGTTCACGTTTACGTGGAAAGTGTTCGTACATGCTAAATTAAGGCAGCTTGCAAACAAATCCAGAAATTTTTCAAAATTGCAAATTATTCAAACGTAGTCAAAAATGGAGAAAAAACAAAGTACGATGCTACTTACTAATAGTTGACGGATCCAGTCACAGATACAGTATCGCCGTTCGGCGCCACTACTGAAAGATGACTTGTACTACCTTTATCTTGAACAGACTGATATCCTCCATAATACGAAGCATTCATGTGAGTTGAATTATCCCAAATTTTCTCGTAAAGTTGTTTGTTATATTCCACATTTAGTACCTGTTTCATAACCTCGGCAAGCTAAAAGTAAACAAATTGAGAGTGAGGAAATGTAAAAAGCCTGAACTTAAACTGAAATAACTTGATCCATGTAGTGTTACTACAGGAGGAAACCTAAATTAAACTAACATTATTTATACTGGCTAGCTCTATCAGTTCTAAACTGTTCTCCCTAGAGGTCCAGTAAAGATCATATCTCTTATTGACTCAGTGTTACTACAGGAGGAAACCTACACTAAACTAACTTTATATATACTGGATAGCTCTATCAGTTCTAAACTGTTCTCCCTAGAGGTCCAGTAAAGATCATATCTCTTATTGACTCAGTGTTACTACAGGAGGAAACCTACACTAAACTAACTTTATTTATACTGGATAGCTCTATCAGTTCTAAACTGTTCTCCCTAGAGGTCCAGTAGAGATCATCTCTTATTGATCCAGTGTTACTACAGGAGGAAACCTAAGCTAAACTAACTTTATTTATACTGGATAGCTCTATCAGTTCTAAACTGTTCTCCCTAGAGGTCCAGTAAGGATCATATCTCTTATTGACTCAGTGTTACTACAGGAGGAAACCTACACTAAACTAACTTTATATATACTGGATAGCTCTATCAGTTCTAAACTGTTCTCCCTAGAGGTCCAGTAAAGATCATCTCTTATTGATCCAGTGTTACTACAGGAGGAAACCTAAGCTAAACTAACTTTATTTATACTGGATAGCTAGCTCTATCAGTTCTAAACTGTTCTCCCTAGAGGTCCAGTAAGGATCATCTCTTAATGATCCAGTGTTACTACAGGAGGAAACCTAAACTAACTCTATTTACACTGGATAGTTCTATCAGTTCTACACAGTTCTTCCACAGGAAGAAATCTAAACTAAACCAACTTCTTCCCAACTAAGTTCCATCAATAGTGTTTCTTCTTCAACCTACCTTGGGGTCATTAACAAAATCAGGATCACCAAAATACGGTCTTCTGGCGTAGGCAAATTTCATAGCTTCAACAATTCTGTGATATGTTAACGTTTTCCTGTCGACACCTTCCATGCTCGTGCTGTTAAATTTGTAGTCTAGAGATAATAATTCTATATCACAAATCGTTCTGCGATATATTCATTAAAACAATTTTAAGCCATGGATGAAACTGCAGGCTTTTAGCCAGGGTCCTAAAAGAGGGCGTCCAATTTTGGTATAACGAAATATTTATAGTAAAGGGGTTTCGAGAAAACGTTCCTCTGGAAAACCTTTGAAGTTTACGTTACTTCATGTCAGCATCTGTTCCAAGCTCGTTCGAAATTTTTCAAACACATTTGGCTTTGTGATTTTGTGCGGCTATACTTCTTTACTTAACTACGACATTTTCATTCAGCCAGGTACACCATCAAATTGATCAAAATGTCAAATGTATAATAATAATGAGAATTGAAGCTATTTCGTTTTGGATATATTAATATACTTAAAGGGAAATTATTGAAAATAATTTCCCTTTTCCCCCAGAATTTGGGCGTCCAAAGGCGTCCATTTTTTCGTTCTAGGGGCGTCCCAGGACGCCCTTCTGGCTAAAATCCTGGTGAGAGTTGATTTGATAAGCGAGAATTTGCATGAGCTAGTTTTCCAATTTCTCCACTCTCATGCCCCGGTCAAACCAAAGAGTTGCATGAGAATTGATAAGAGTTGAGTGGATGTTACCGCACGCGTAGCAAAAACTCTCATCAACTCTCATCACGAGAGTCTATGAAAGTTGTCGCTCAAACCCGAGCGAGAGTTAGTGACTGTAATGTCCCAACTGGATTGCGAAAAACGCAGCTCAACCTGATCGAGTCGAAAGTTTTGTAAGGACGCTTCTGCCAGCCACCTTAAGCCGGTTTTCCACTAGCGAATCTTTTCGCGCGAAGCGACCTTTCGGCATCCATTTTGCCACGTCTTGCTGACGTAATAAGTGATCGCAACTCAACTTTCGTGGGTGTTTAAGCATATCTACACACGTAAAAACGCACAAGTTGTAACAAGTCTGCAAACAAGTTGTTACAAGTCTGTTCACAAGCTGTCAACAACTTGTCTTCGCACTGCTTGCTCCCTGTTTGTTGTAACAAGTTTGGAACAAGCTGTTAACAACTTGTAACAAGCTTGATGGCATTATCAGCCTTGTTACAAGACTGTGCTAACAAGTTTGTTACAGCCATGATATAACAAGGATGTTACAAGGTGTCAACATAAGGTTGTAACAATCTTGTTATATCAAGCATGTAACGGACTTGTTGGAACAACCTTGCAACAGGTCTGATAATTTCGACAAGGTTGTTCCAAATTGTTAACAGCTTGTTCCAAACTTGTTGACAACTTGTGACAAGCAGTGCGAATACATCTTGTTGACGGCTTGTTGGCAGACTTGCTCCAATGGTATGGTCATATAAACCATATTCCATCTACACAAAACTTACTCTGTAAAATATTCAAAATCTGCGTGACCACAGGACCCCCAGACGGAAGAGGACAAGACAACATAGTGATGTCGTCAAGATCCAACTTCAAAACGTCTTCAGTGACTCCGACTTGATAATTCTTCAAATCCTTCTCCGTAATGATGCCGTCATTGTTTTCAAAATCCGCCGCAATTTTCTTGGCCAGCTTTCCGGAATAGAATGACTCCGGGTCTTCTTGTATTGTTCTTAATGTTTCCGCCAACTGTGGGTTCACAATTGTGTCTCCTTCTTTCTTAAATGTCCCGTCCTTGTTCATCAAGAGCTCTCTAAATATTTCAGTTGTAAAATGGAGAATCAATGTCAGTCAAGGTAAATGACAAATATTCTGAATAATTATAAGTGGGGATCTGCTAATATTACATCCTTCCTGGCTGGTGAAAGCTAAGCTGAATAGACCTTTGTTATAATGACGTCAAACGCGGAAGAACACTTAATGCGATGTTGTGAGCGACAATTGATGATTCCCCTTATTACGTTTTCGTAGCACTTCGCATTGTGGTTATAGTGGTATCACTGATAAAGATAGCGGCCTCGAATGAAAATATTGAATGTTTTCGCGAATATTTTGCTGTTGGCTATCGCGCACCTGACCCTAGCTTTTTTAAAAGTTCTTGCACGGGTCAGGACAAAAAATAAGCCATCTTGAATATCAGTGATACCACTATAACCACAATGCAAAGCGCTACGAAAACGTAATAAGGGGAATCTAGTATTCGCAATTCAAATGATGTTTTTATGAAATCTATTGGCTCGCCAACGACTTGTATTGTCCTGTGGGACATCGTATACATTGGTTTTCCGCATTTGACGTCATTATCACAAGGTCTATTGCAAAGGACACAGTTCAACCTGATCGAGGCTTTCTAAGGGCGCCTCTAGCAACCACCTTACGACTCACGGAGCTGTCAAATCACGGAGCACAGCTACTGTCAGATCACGGAGCACAGCTACTGTCAGATCACGGAGCACAGCTGCTGTCAGATCACGGAGCACAGCTGCTCTCAGATCACGGAGCACAGCTACACACGTAAAAATCTCACATCTTGTAACAAGTCTGCTAACAAGCCGTCAGCAAGATAGTGTATTCGCACTGCTTGTCACAAGTTGTTAACAGGTTTGGAACAACCTTGTTGAAATTATCAGACTTGTTGCAAGGTTGTTCTGACAAGTCCGTTACATGCTTGATATAACAAGATTGTTACAACCTTGTGTTGACAACCTTGTAGCATCCTTGTTATATCATGACTGTAACAAACTTGTTAGCACAATCTTGTAACAAGTCTGATAATGCCATCAAGCTTGTTACAAGTTGTTAACAGCTTGTTTCAAACTTGTTCCAACAAACTGGGAACAAGCAGTGCGAACACAACTTGTTGACAGCTTGTGAACAGACTTGTTTGCAGACTTTTTGCAAGCTGTGCGTTTTTACGCGCGTACTGTCAGATCACGGAGCTACGGTGGAAGGGTCAGCTTTGAGCTAATCCCAACGCACTCTGTCAGCATTCCCCGTGGAAGTAAACCAGAGTACCCAGAGAAAACCCACGACTTTCGGTAGAGCGTTGACCTACTCTTTTCACAAGGTGTCATCAGTCCCAGTGGTGTAACTTTAGTTTTTTGACAAGTTTCACTCAGGGCAAGTTGGACATGAAAATTAGTTGCCCTGAATTAAATTCACTTGCCATCAGACAATCGTCACCAAGGTAGAGGGTATAAATTAAGGGGACAACATGTCGACCCGTTCTCCCACTGCTCTATATGGCCACGTGATACTGCCTCAGATCTAGCTTTGGCCCATGAAAAACAAAATTTGAATCTAGTCCATGCACTATAAAAAATTTATATCCGACAATGAAAACATAAACTTTTAGATGCCCACCTTTTTGTGGCAAGGCAACTTGCCCAATCGGGCAAGCAAGATAAGACGTTTACTTGCCCGTTGTGATATTCACTTGCCCCGGGCAAGCGGGCAAGTGTTAGGTTACACCTCTGCAGTCCGCAGGGAGAATCGAACTCACAATCTCAGAAGTGAAAGGGGCTTGCTGTGACGACTACACACGTAAAAACGCACAAGTTGTAACAAACCTGCAGCAGACTTGTAGCAATGCTGTTCCAACAACTTGTCAACAGGATGTGTTCGCACTGCTTGTTCCCAGCTTGTTGACAACTTGCCACAAGGTTGTTGAGCTCAACAGACTTGTTACAAGTCGTTCCAACAACTTGTTATCGTCCTGCCATTCAACAACTTGTCAACAAGTTGTAAGTGACAACCTTGTTGCAACTTGATGAAATAACAACATTGTTACAACTTGTTGACAAGCTTGCTACAAGCCTGTTTCGAACACATCTTGTCGACAAGTTGTGAGATTTTTATGTGTCACCGAAGGCCCGTGCCATGGTGAGATACAAATCAGTGTATCCAAGGTTGTTCATTGACTAACAACGTTACAAACATGTGTTTACTAGAAAACTTTTACCTACCTGAAGTCTGGGTCGGTGATTGAAGGCTCAGATCTTTTTATGGCGTACGCCAGGGCTGACGTCACAATAAATCCTTCACTGGCCAGTTTGACTGAAGGCTCAACAAGACTCCACCAATCTAACTTGCCGTACATTTCGTGAGCTTTTATGAAACCTTTCACTTCGCCAGGAACTCCAGCTGACATTGGACCTTTAATGTAAACAACAGATGATGAGTAAAATAATTCAGAACCAAATAGACATTCAAAACAATAACGACGCCATCTTGAAATCGCAAACCAGGTTGCATCATTGAACTATAAATAAACTGGAAGGCTAACTGCTATGATGAAGGCCTATGATTTGATGAAGCCAAAATAGTTTTTCTGAGTTATGAGCAGAAATACTTGACCCCAAACGTCGGGCTATATATCAAATTGAAGCTATTGAAAATTGCTATTCGGTGTGGAAATTTCAAGACTTCAGCGAAAAGAAAAATATTTAAAAAATACAAAAACAACTGCAAAACGGCAAATTATCGGTAATTATGTTTGTAGTTTTTCAATATTTCCCTTTTAGCTAAAGTCTTGAAATTTCTACACCAAATAGAGTTTTTCAATAGCTTCAATTTGATATATAGCCCAACGTTCAGTGTTGAGTATTTCTGCTCATAACTCAGAAAAACTAAAATGCACTGGCTTCAATTTCCCCCCCTGAGTTAGCCTTCCAGTTTATTTATAGTTCAATGGGTTGCATTTCAACTCCATTTATATCCGAAAATTTTCGGCAACCAAATGATCCCGTGGTCCGACACTTTCCCTTGACGATAATGGTTTAAGAGGAGATTTTTTTGTATGTTACGTAACACGCGCTCAAAACTAACGCGTATAATATACCACTTGAGGTCATGACTAAATTCAAAATTTTTATTTTTCGATACGTTTCTCAATCGGCAAACAAACTTTAAAAGTATGTTTAGTGCTTTATCTGTAAAATAATGCTAAAATGAAGAGATTTTAGATGGTACGCCAAAGAGAAAATGATGTCTGAAGTTCATTAAGTTCTGCTTATATGGCTGTAAATATGGCGTCAATTATAAAGCATCATTGATAATTGTATTTTAATTGAGAATTTTTAACTATTATTTTATGTTTCTCAACCGGCAGATGCATTTAAATAGGTAGCTAACTCTATAAACTGGAGAATAAAGCTAAAACAAAGTAATTTTGAGTGGAACGCCAAAAAGATTTTAGGTTTTGAACACTATTCATTGCAAATACGTGACATTGAAAAAAATTGCCTCTTAACAATAGACCATTCCCCAATTAACCAAAGTTTTGAACTCAACAAGTCTAAACAAAAATTTCATCACAGCTTGAAAGAGCATCACAAAATTAGTAATATTCCAAAGTTTCGTTGCAAAATGTTGTAAAATGCGGATAATATAGCCTTGCAAAGTTTTTAATTTTCAGTCGTTTTAGATTACGCACAGAAGTGGTAACCATTTCCCGTTTGTAATCTAAAATGACTGAAAATTGCAAGCTTCGCAAGGCTATCAGTATTATCCGCTTTTTACAACATTTCGTAACGAAACTCTGGAATATTACTAATTTTGTGATGCTCTTTCATGCTATGATGGAATTTTATCTAGACTTGTTGAGATCAAAATTTTGGTTAATTGGGGAATGGTCCATTAAGGCAAGTTTACACTTGCACACTTTTGCTGCGAGTTTCTCCTTCTGATGGATGTGAACGAGTAGATGAGTTATGAATGTTCTGAGTATATGTACCCTCATCTGAACATTCCTAACTAATACACTCATTCACATCCATCAGAAGGAGAAACTCGCACCAAATATCTCAGCAAGAACTGCGCTGGTATAAACGAGCCTTTAGGAATATCATTGCAAATATTATACCTCACAATAAGCTTGTCCAATCAGAGAACTAAATTTGTACCACATGACCATGGTATTTTTCAGCGAATACTATGACCTAGGCAATTTGAACCCTGGGTGTTTTACCCGGGGCCATGGTATTCGACTTCTAATACCACGCTTGAGCGGGAAATTCGACTTTTTTAAATGTAAAGTTATCAAAAGTTGTGTTTTGAAATTAAAAGTTAATTGAATGGTATTTGTTTTCTACTTATTTTTGAAAGGTTCGGTATAATATACCATTTATAGACGTTTCACTCGGGGTATTCCACAAAAAATTACCCTGCGGGATGAAATATTACTCGGGCTTCGCCCTCGGAATATTTCATCCTTCAGGGTAATTTTTTGTGGAATACCCCTCGTTTCAGGTCTAAAACTGATAAGTTTCATATTAATCTGACACTGCAATCGAGCAACGAAAAATTCGTTGGCTCGAGCGGGATTTGAACTCGCATCTTCGGGTATCTAGACCGCCGCTCAACCTATTGAGCTATCGAGTTGACTCGATAGCTCAATAGGTAGAGCGGCGGTCTATACCCGAAGATGCGAGTTCAAATCCCGCTCGAGCCAACGAATTTTTCGTTGCTCGATTGCAGTGTCAGATTAATATGAAACTAGTTTTCCTATCTCTGAGGATGGTTCTGAAATAAAACTGATAAGTATGAGCAAATGCCAGTATTGTTATTGGAAAGAAAAATGACAAAAAAATTACTAACCTAACCAGGCGTCGTCAGAATTGTTTACATACATATTTTCATGTGCAGCGGCCGGGGCCTTTTCCCTGGCGTTGATAAACACAGCTTTTCTCTTCTGTTTTTCATAGATCAACATAAAGTTCCCTCCACCGATACCACTCGAGTGCATGGTCACCACAGTTATACAGAACATCGTCGCAATGGCCGCATCCACGGCAGAACCTATCGAGGACAATTGATCATCATTATATAACAAACAAATAAATCATTATTTATTGAGCGTTCTCTGACTTAATATTTATTTCTACGAGCTTTCGGCTATCAGTCTATAGCCTTCGACGGGTGTATACAAATGATTCTGTAAAGGACGCTAAAATTAAGTAGGTGGTATGAAATCTGAGACTATCTATGCTATGTTACAAATGGGTAATATGAATATTTAACTAATTAATGTTTCTTGAGTTCCTTTCTTAAAAGTATTGTGTGTACTGTGCTGGAAGCGTATTAGAGTTATTATCAGCTTCGTCTGTTAGTGCAGTGTGCCAGGACTCTAAGGTTTTAAGGTTTCTATGATTTCCCTTGTCTATCACTTTAGCATTGGCAAAGTCAATTATATGGTCTTGAGTCCATGCCAATGCTAAAGTGATAGACAAGGGAAATCATAGAAACCTTAAAACCTTAGAGTCCTGGCACACTGCACTAACAGACGAAGCTGATAATAACTCTAATACGCTTCCAGCACAGTACACAATACTTTTAAGAAAGGAATTAACTCAAGAAACATTAATTAGTTAAATATTCATATTATCCATTTGTAACATAGCATAGATAGTCTCAGATTTCATACCACCTACTTAATTTTAGCGTCCTTTATAGAATCATTTGTATACACCCATCGAAGGCTATAGACTGATAGCCGAAAGCTCGTAGAAATAAATATTAAGTCAGAGAACGCTCAATAAATAATGTTTCAACCTGGCTACGCATCTTCTATTTTTTCAAATAAATCATTATTAACTCCAAGATTTTGTTGGCAGCTCACTTGATTGAATAATAGTTGAAGGGTTACAGCTATTCAATCGTAAATTACCTCCAACAGGACCTTACAGGAGTTTATGTTTTTATCCACATTTGTAAGTGTGTGTGTGTTTTGTGTGTCGATAACCTAGGGACCTGTCAGAAATTACCAGGGGGAGGGGAGTGGAAATTTGAAAAAATAAGTTGCAAAAGCTGTGACCCCCCAGCAAGGACGAGCATGAAATATCGTGGCCCTCCACTTGATTGTGTCCAAAAAATTCATGACCCCTCCCCTTTCCTGCCGAATCCATACATATCCAGGCAACATTTATACAGATATAGTATATTGTTTTACTTTTTTATAAATATCAAATATAAATATTTAATATTATTAAACACTCAATCTGAATGTATACTAGAACTAGATTCTCCAATTCCATGCAACACAATGTCTTGATCACTTTCGTCCAGGCTACTCTCTTCACCTTCTTGATCTACCTCGTTGTAGTCTATATCTTATAAAGTCATGTTTATAAAATACTGTTTTAGATATTGTACTATTTTTTATACAATAATCAATGTGATCTGTTCGAGAGCCACGAGGGCTTAAATTTTATGACCCTCCCTTATGAAAATTATGGCTTAAATTTTTATGGCCCTCTCTTTTCAATGGTTCAGTTTTTAATGACCCACCCTTTTGAAGGGCTAAAAAAATAAGACCCTCCCTCTTTCTACACCCCCCTCCCCCCTCTGGTAATTTCTGACAAGTCTCTTATCAAACGTATTAATACGAAAAGTTGTGGGACTAAATGCCCATTTCCACTCCGGAAAATTTTCCGCAGAAAGAAAATTTTGTAAAATGTGATTGGCCGACACGAATTTTCCGTCGGAAAGGGCTTACTGGCGTATTCTAAAAGCTCACTCACACTCAATGAGTGGAGGTTCAATCTGAGCTTCTCTTGAGTGTCGATGCTGTTTTTGAACAGCTGGAGGGTTAGTGTCGTAGCTTACTATGTGACTACTCACCCTCCAGCTGTTCAAAAACTGCACTGAGACTCAAGAGAAGCTCAGATTGAACCTCCACTCATTGAGTGTGAGTGTGAGTGAGCTTTTAGAATACGGGCGTTAGTGTAGGTAATCGCATGGGGCCGAGTAAAATTAAGGTTTAATTTCACGCGTGTTTTCAAAGTTTCACACTACACGCGAAGAGTTTTTAATTCTTCAAAATAATATAATTATCCGCAACGACGAAGCGAGAAGCCATTGTTCTTATTGCTATTTAAAAAAAAGTCCCGCGCTTGTGTCTCAGCCAATCAGGTACTTTTGCCCTGAATTAAGAGAAAATGCCCACATCATTATAGCCAATCATATTTGAGTAATTTTGCCCGCTATATGATTATATATTATACATGTAATTTTAATAATACGCAAAGTGTCTAACCTTTCTTCTCAAGAATATTGCATCCAATTTCCGAGCATACAGAAGTGTCGGAGGAGACGGAAAAGTTTCTGAATTGCTTGCCAGATCTACAACTAGACTGCTGTCTGCTCACAAGGACTGTCTCAGTGGTCACGTCCTCATTTCTGAGCCCGAACGACAAGCCAAGAACAAGGCCAAGTATAGCCAGAATCAACCCACCGGCTATGATGTAAAGCAGCAACGTTTTCGTGCCAGATTTTCTGAAAATACAAAAATAAAACATTGAAGGGGATTTTTTGCCACTTTTGCATTTAGTAATTAGTTTCTCTTACTATACAAGTTTGTCTGAAAAGTTAATATATCATAATTAAGATTGATATTTAGGAAGTTTTAATGTATGTACCCAATATTCCTCATATTATAGTACAATCAAAACACTTGTGTATATGGTACTTCATTGAGAAGCCATGCAAGAATCCTACTCCACTCAAGTCGTATAGAATGAAAGGTTGACAAAAGAAAAAAGGAAATAAGGACTTTGTTCTATCAAAATAATCAGACAGAACAAATACAGAGAAAATTATGGTTTTTACTATAAATTACGCCATGTTACAGTATATGAATATTGACTCCATTGTAACGTTTGATTACAATGTGTAATGCAGGCGGACAGAAAATTTATGATTTTTTTCTGTGTAGGTGTTGTGTACTCAGGTGAATATGATGTTTGTGATATTACTCTGAGTGTATATCCACACCGGGCAAGCTTGTGAAAAATATGCCTGGCCACGGTGGGAATCGAACCTGCAAAGACTAGGGCACAACAGAAAGAAATTGAAGAAATTACTTCAACGGAAGAACAGAGTGATTTAAAACGAACAACGATACTAGCCCAATGCTCTGCCAATTGAACTACGTGGTCAGGTCGGTTCGAGTATATGTGATATTTCGGAACTGAGTCTATAGTTCCTTCGATATCAATGCGATCTAGTAATCATGATTTTTTTCTGTGTTTGGTGTAATGTACGCAGGTGAATATGATGTTTGTGATGTTGCTCTGAGTGTATATCCACACCGGACAAGCTTGAAAAATATGCAAAAAAAAAAATTCAAAAGATTTATTACCACACAATATCAGGGGTGCATGCAAGTGGAATAATAGACTGCACTGTTTATAATTGCGGCTATTTCCTTATGTTTCTCGGGGTAAGGATAGGTTTGAGATTGGGCTCAAGATCAAAGCATAGTTAAAGCACAGGTTAAAGAGGAACATATATTTGTGGGCGAAACATGGTGGTGATATACTCTTCATGTGCGCCTGTCATGCTAATAATAACACTTTATTTATTGAGGATAAACAGATAAAATTACAACTTTTTTCCAATCTGGCCCTCCTAAACTCTATACAGACACAACAATAATATCGAATCAAAGCATAGTTAAAGCACAGGTTAATCTGGCCCTCCTAAACTCTATAGACACAACAACAATATCATTAAACATGACTATATTTTCAGTACTTCCTAGGAGTATGAACAAACGAAATCATGGGTATAATGTAAAGTATTAACCAGTACTACAATTCGGCTGTCCATACCTCAAGAAAGCCACAATTTTCTAATTAGGCAATTTTCTAAATATGTATAAATTATATTTACAGAATAATATGTAGAAATACGTCGACACACAACTCACACGTGACATTAAAAACACGACAATATTTGGCACTTTCTCCATGTACGAACAACCGAAAGTTAGATCATGCTCAGCTAAAACTGCAAGCATGAACTTCGGCAGTTCGTACATCAACAAAGCAACTAACTTTATAGTCTTAATAAAGTTATCAAATGCAAACAAACAAACAAACAAACAAACAAACAAACACCAAATGTTCTTAACAAAGAAATAGACTGTCACTGATACTTATTAGACTATACACTTATATTAAACAGGCAAGCATGGGAACGAGGCTATTGCGGCAAAAGTGTAATAAACAGTAAAGTCTATTGTGACTCATTTATTCATTTTAACTATTTCCAAATTATTCATTATTTGTCGTATTTTTCGAATTACTCATTCATTGTTTTATTGTTCATTATTCTTTTTTTTAGTTTTTATTCGGATTTTTCAAACACAAATTTTCTCATTATTCTTTTATATATAAACCTGTTATTATTTACAGTATTAGGAACCCTCGATATACAGTATTATAGGAACCCTGTGCTGTGGATTAAAATGATGAAGAGCTATAACTCAAGATAAATATTTAAAAAAGGATGTGTTGAATTGCTCAAAAGGAAGGTTTACTTTCAGTCTTTCACATTAAGTCCAATTCAAATGGCAAACTGTCTCGTAATTGTTGTTCACATTGAATGCCCTACTGACAAAAAAAACAGTCAACACAAGGGCTTATATGCACGCAATAACAATTGTCTGAAAGAGTACAAAGAAGAGCCGGTGGAACGACTGATATTTCAGGCTATGATGCACGCTCATTAATTTACAGAACCTGTAATTACTGACAATACACGCGACAACATGAATACAATATGTATGAAATGTCAAAATATTGGGATTTGCTCCACCCAAAATGCGGAAAGTGTGATTGAAAAAAATTCACCAACTTTAAAGTGGTTTTACGTATAGTACCCTTCAAACTAAGGCGGCTCATCGGGTATAATTTCGACATTTATTGTTCTCAAATTGTTCTCAGTGATGATTCATGTTAAGAAGAATTGACTTGCTAGCTCGCTACCACACGGGTAGCGCAACATGGGGTGGCCTAACCCAAGGTTACCCAATTAGGGAAAGCCCTAACCATGCAGACAGGACATTTATACTATTGTCTATTACCTTTGTCTATTATATGACTCATTGCCCGATTTAACTCAACTCACAGGAATGTTGCATGTGCTGTATAAAAAATACTGAACAGCCTGTTATTTCTCATAAAGATTCTCAGAATCACCCAAGGTTACCCAAGGGTAGGCCTTGCACCATGGAGACACGTGATTTACTATTACTAAGGATGCGAGTCATTGTGTGATTTAAATCTATACTCGGTGTAACTTTCACTAGATGATATGAAATACACGGCCTGTGTTATCTCACAAAGATTCTCCAAATTGAATTATATACTCAAATAAACTTAATTAACTTTATATATACTGGTGAGTTTTCAATTCAATATATTCAATTCAATTAGGCTTTCTCACGCCGCCATTTTTGGGGTTCTGTAATTTTCCGTAAACGATTATAACAATGTAGAAAGCAATATTTCAGAACAAACTAACTATTTGCAGAGTAAATTTACCATCATACACCCACAAAATTATAAAATGTCGCCGTTACGTGGTGTTACGCTCGCAGGATTGGAAAAAAAGTACCCCAAAAATGGCGGCGTGAGAAAGCCTAATTCAATTCAATTCAACTTATTTTGCACAAATTTTTTTATCTTAGTACAATAAACACTTAGAAATTATGATTGCCTTGAGCCTTATTACAAAACTTGACAAGTGTACAGAAATACTTCTATGGTTTTGGAAAACAAAGGCAGCCTTGGCGTGAGATAAATGTTTAAAAACATTCCATGCACAACATTTCAAGGAAAACTTGTTGACTGTACACACGAGAAAGTAAAGTTGTCAAGTAAACTTGTCAAGGAAAACTTGTTGACTGTATATACACACGAGAAAGTAAAGTTGTCAAGGAAACTTGTCAACGAAAACTTGTTGACTGTACACACGAGAAAGTAAAGTTGTCAAGGAAACTTGTCAAGGAAAACTTGTTGACTGTATATACACACGAGAAAGTAAAGTTGTCAAGGAAACTTGTCACCGAAAACTTGTTGACTGTACACACGAGAAAGTAAAGTTGTCAAGGAAACTTGTCAAGGAAAAAGTGCTTGTCTGTACCAAAATTTGCATACAATACCTCAATGCATGCACGGGTATTTGCTAGATCAAACGATAATAAGATCCAAGTGTTTGTGGATTACTTAAAAGACATCACATGCTATACTTAAACCTGTCGCTCATCAACTCAAAGATCATAGTATCAACTCTAAGAATGCTAGAGCGCTTTAGGGTGTGTTCTCATTAGACAAAAGTACTTGTGGTGTACGAATTATCAAGTAGACGTGACCTGAATGACGGGTTTAAAAATAAGCTTAAAAATCACAGAAAGGGCCCTTAGACTTGCTTGGATGAGGTAATTGTGTTGATGATAATTTATGTAGCCCTATACACGAAACCTAAAATGTTGACATGAATCACAGCAAAAACACCAATGAAGACAGGTTGAACCATATTTTACGTCCGGGAACCTATACAAACACTGTGTAGTGAGTTTGGGCTAGGCTAAGGTGCATGAGGTTAGGCTGAGGTGGGGTTAGGCTGAGGTGGGGTTAGGCTGAGGTGGGGTTAGGGCAAGGCTGTGTTAGAGTGAGGGTTAATGAGGGTCTCTCACGGGGAGGGGGTCTGTGTTCCCTTGGAAATATTTCCTATGTTCCCACAGAGATTTCGCCATGTTCCCTTGGTCTGCCCCAGGTTACACCATGTTCTCCTGTTTCCTACGATTTTTTGGTTTTGTTCCCATTGCAAAATATGTCTTGTTAAGTTCCAATATGCTCTTTAGAAATCCATGGGAGACTGTTGTTATTGTATATTTTGTGTAGGGCAACATAACGTCCATATCTTCCAAGCTTACTTTAACCGTTCAGCGCAGCAATTTCACATTGGTACTATACCCACACTGGTACAGACAGTTTTAGTATACTTTACTTATGTTATAGGTAGAGCTCTGGTAGTTCTAAAACATTCTCTCCGCTGGGTTTCAGGCAGAAAGCGTTATACTAATTGCCATTTTCATGTGTACAATCTTGAATTTTCTGTGGCAATGTATGTAGTAGTATTAATAAGAAAGCTCAGATGGATAGCGATATAGAAACGACCCTTTTGAATAGCTGAAACGACGCTTTTGAATAGCTGAAACGACCCTTTTAAATAGCTGAAACTACGCTTTTGAATATCAGAATCGACCCTTTCGAAGAGTAACGTTCCTGCCCTTTGAGGAGTTAAAACTACCTTCTGAAAAGGGCGCAATCTACACACGCAAAAGTCTCACATCTTGTAGCAAGTCTGCCAACAAGTTGTGTTCGCACTGCTTGTCCCAAGTTGTCAACAAGTTTGGAACAAACTGTTAACAACTTGTAACAACCTTGTTGATATTATCAGACTTGTTGCAAGGTTGTTCCAACAAGTCCGACACAGTCATGGTATAACAATATTGTCCGTTACAATCTTGTGTCATCAACCTTGTAACATTCTTGTTATATATGATCACTGTATCAGACTTGTTAGAACAACTTTGCTACAAGTCTGATAATACCATCAAACGTGTTACAAGTTGTTAACAGCGTGTTCCAAACTTATTACAAAACTGGAAACAAGCAGTGCGAACACAACTTGTTGACAGCTTGTGAACAGATTTGTAACAACTTGTTTGCAGACCTGTAACAACTTGTGCGTTTTCACGTGTGTACCCTTTCGAAGAGTAAGCACCGAAGGGACTGAAACGACCGTTTTGAAAGGGTAGTCCTGTGGTCGAAACTACTACTCCTTTCAAGAGGTCAAAACTACTCTTTTGAATTTACAGTGTGCTGGAAAAATAAAAGAACTTCAACTTCCAGTTTTCCTTAGTCGCATCCCTATCACAATCCCAACATTTCCATGCATAATATATATGGACTTTGTATGGAAGTAATATAGATATACGATCTAGTTCATTATTTTGTGCAGTAATGTGGCTCATTAAGGTGCGTTTATACTTGCAAATTTTGCTGCAATTTCTGGTGCGATTTTCTACTTCTGATGCATGTGAAGCCGTGAAGGAGTAGATGAGGTATAATGTTCTGAGTAAAGTCTGACTATACTGACGTGCCCTCATCTGAAGATTCATGACACATCTATCAAAGGGCCTCTAGGGGACACTTTGGAAGGCTCTTGCACTCTCTGTAATGTATGCACGAGTGATCAAGTGATGAAGGGTGATATTGCTATGTTGTGACAGCATATATAAATATCCTAGCAGCTACGTAGGGTGCCAATTTGAATACTATAGCTATGGCACATGGCAATATAATAATTGCCCTCTCAATGAATTAGCTATATTGAGCACTCCCGCATCGGTGACATGTGTGCATACAATAAGGTCACGAGAACTGTAGATGTCGCAATTACTTTGATAAACGTTAGGACCGCTCTTTAATAGTACCAATGTCTCATGCCGGGTTGGCTTGGTGCCGTTTATACGAGGCGGGCAAACCCGGCTAACCAGGACATCCTGTAGGTCAAATTAACCAGACTATAGTGTGGGTACACGGTTAAAATAACCAGGAAATAACCCAAATAGGGCGATGCCTGGGTTCAACAAGAAAATGGTAACCAGAGTAGTTTTAGAGTGTCCAAAAATTTCTAGAACACTGTGCAAGCAAGGGATGACTCAGATATTCCAACACATCCGATTACATCGAGAGGCCCCTGATTTCTAGAACTTCCTGATTTTCGAGATAGATTGGCTATATTTAAGAATCTCATTTAAAAATTTGGACAACAGTTTTATTGCCTTTCTAAAGCAAAAATCATTGGGAACTAGGGGAAATATAAGCTGGGGATACAAGGGAACATGGTGACACTTGAAATGTTTTTCAAAATCCTTATACAATGGATCTTCGTTGGAAAGTAGTATGGAAATCCAATTTTCATATACTATTTGCAATTTCCATACTATGCAGGATATAGTGGAAATAGTATGGATATATACTATGGATTTAGTGGTGCAATGGACCATTCCCCAATTAACCAAAATTTTGATCTCAACAAGTCTAGACAAAATTCCATCATAGCATGAAAGAGCATCACAAAATTAGTAATATTCCAAAGTTTCGTCGCGAAATGTTGTAAAATGCGGATAATATAGCCTTGCGAAATTTGCAATTTTCAGTCATTTTAGATTACAAACGGGAAATGGTTACCACTTCTTTGGTTAATTGGGGAATGGTCCATTGCGAAATTAATTTCATGGTATGGATTTCACATTTTTTTCCGTGGAATCTTTGTGGGGAAGAAGGAAAAAATTTCAAAACCCATCCCTCCCCCCCTCTGGGAGAGATCTTCTACTCCGGGAGAGACCCTCAGACGCAACACCATGCAATTTCCCATGTTTTTTTTTCAATTTTTCTAATAAAGCTGCGGGAGCGATCCAATTTCTTTTCAATAATTGTAAGCCCCGGTCAACATGAGAGTTGGCGGTCACGCATTAATTGTTACGGGGGACATTTCAAGCTCTAGATTAACAAAATAAAGGTTCGATGAGTATTCCAACTATGTTTTAACTTCAATAGAATACATGATAGTGTTGGGAAAGCATTAAGAACAGCTAACCAAGATCGCGTGACTGCCATTAATTTTAATATGTTTACCATGCTACGAGCTGAACAGAAGGTTCGACAAGGTTTTACAAAAAGATCTCCGAGGGTCAGTTTTAAGTTATTTGATGATTAATGCTTAAGGGTTAGTTTTCTTTCGAAGCACAAGAGAGAACCAACCAAGCTCTGTATCTACATGAATTTTTCAAACAAAGAGCAGTCCCAGCCTTCGATCTGTAGCAGGCTCAACTCAGAGGTAATAGCTATCGACTACCCGTATAATACCGCGAATAACATGTTGTAAAGGATAACAGGTTGTTTTCAAATGTTCCCACATTCGCCCATTTTCAAAAGAGAAAACAAACATGGTTGTTTTGAGCCAAGAAAAACGTCACAAGTGCATAATTGGGCTGTTAGGTATTTTGGTGTACCGCGAGCACAAAAATAAAGCAATTAACATGCCATTTCGCGTTCACAATTGTATTTTCATCAAACGGTTGTATAAAGTTCTTAACTATACTTATTTCTGATTACTATTTTGTAGTTAAATAATATAGTTAACTTTAACCTAATCCAACATATATACTCTAACCTAAACTCTAATATATATATATATATATATATATTTTACAATTATTTATTATTATTAATTATTTTTTATTATTATTTATTTTTTATTATTATTTATTATATTTTTATTTTTTACAATTTTTCTGTCAATACTTTTTACCTTACCTAATAGTGTCCGAAATTGCATGTGTTGCAGCAGATATTGCCTAGTCACTATATAGTGCAACACGGATATGGCTTTGAGTTGCGACAACTTACGTAAAGGAAGCTTACGACACAAGCAAAACAAGCCCGATATTCCTTTACATTTCCTGAATTTTAAAAACACAACATACGACAACAATAATGTGTCTTGAGGACTACTTGACAACTACAAGTACCTCAATATGCAAGTAATTTGCATAGTCAAGAAAAATGCAATATATATAATTGCATATTATACCACATATAGTATATATACATGCAAAATGTTGCGTGTATATAAACAGACTTTATTCAAAGAGAGCTGCCAATACTGGTACATGGAATACAAAACATACTAAATTTCCAGAGAGACTAGTTTAAACTGAATTAGGATTATACTAGTTACAATTGATCAAAATTTGTTGGGACATCGAAGCAATACTTGGTTACCAATGCTCCCACGCATTTGTCTTTCATTACAATAACATACATAAACAAGTCATGATTATTAAAAGAACGAAACGAATGATTTATTTGGTCAAGCTTAGAGATAAAATCTGCTCTGAGATCAGTAAACCTAAGCATTAGAGAGGGGACTCTATATATAAGAGAGATGTCCGTATAAGAGAGGTGACCGTTATTGGAGAAGTGTCCGTATTAGAGAGGCGATTGTATATTAGAGAGGTGACTGTTATTGGAGAAGTGTCCGTATTAGAGAGGCGACCGTATACCAGAGAGGCGACCGTATTAGAGAGGTGACCGTATTAGAGAAGTGTCTCTATGAGATATGAGATGTCCGTATTAGAAAGGCATTCTATGACAAAGGTATCCGTACTAAAGAAGTGTCTGTATTAGAGAGGCGACTGTATATTAGAGAGGTGACCGTATTAGAGAAGTGTCTCTATGAGATATCAGATGTCCGTATTAGAAAGGCATTCTATGATAAAGGTAACCGTACTAAAGAAGTGTCTGTATTAGAGAGGTGTCTGTATTAGAGAAGTGTCTGTATTAGAGAGGTGTCTGTATTAGAGAGGTGTCTGTATTAGAGAGGTGTGTGTATTAGAGAGGTGTCTGTATTAGAGAGGTGTCTGCATGTATTAGAGAGGTGTCTGTATTAGAGAAGTGTCTGTATTAGAGAGGTGTCTGTATTAGAGAGGTGTCTGTATTAGAGAGGTGTGTGTATTAGAGAGGTGTCTGTATTAGAGAGGTGTCTGCATGTATTAGAGAGGTGTCTGTATTAGAGAAGTGTCTGTATTAGAGAGGTGTCTGTATTAGAGAGGTGTCTGTATTAGAGAGGTGTGTGTATTAGAGAGGTGTCTGTATTAGAGAGGTGTCTGCATGTATTAGAGAGGTGTCTGTATTAGAGAAGTGTCTGTATTAGAGAGGTGTCTGTATTAGAGAGGTGTCTGTATTAGAGAGGTGTGTGTATTAGAGAGGTGTCTGTATTAGAGAGGTGTCTGCATGTATTAGAGAGGTGTCTGTATTAGAGAAGTGTCTGTATTAGAGAGGTGTCTGTATTAGAGAGGTGTCTGTATTAGAGAGGTGTGTGTATTAGAGAGGTGTCTGTATTAGAGAGGTGTCTGCATGTATTAGAGAGGTGTCTGTATTAGAGAAGTGTCTGTATTAGAGAGGTGTCTGTATTAGAGAGGTGTCTGTATTAGAGAGGTGTGTGTATTAGAGAGGTGTCTGTATTAGAGAGGTGTCTGCATGTATTAGAGAGGCGACCGTGTTAGAGAGGTGTCCCTATCCTATCCTATCCAGAGGTGTCCGTTGAGAAGTGCATGTCCTTATTCTGAGGTGACAACATTAGAGAGGTTCCGTACTAGAAAGATGTCCACGCATGGAGAATTCGACAGTATATAGCATAAGCATGTTAATTTATATGGTATACACCTAATTCAAAAAAGATTGTCCTTCCTAACTATAAACCTTAAACCTTTCACCTTAAACTCTAAGCGCGAAAAGGGCGATGGGAACACACAGTGTTTGCCGTGTTTAATCAGAGACTTGTTGTCATAATCCTTGTGCATACACAGCCAGATTTACGATGAAGAGCGTCACATTGCACTTTTCGCGCTTAGTGTTTAAAGTTTAAGGTTTAGTGTATGGAAGAAGGACAACCTTTTTTGAATTAGCTATATACAAAGCATTGTTAACCATTTATAATATAGCATTTGTAAATTCTGAACGCTGATTGGCTAAGAGCCGTGTTGATATAACTCCATGTCAACACGGGAAATTTTCCGCCGCTTGTAACACGGAAATTGTTCTTATTCTTCGGGCTTTTGACATTGCTATATTATAAAACAAATATAAAACATTTTTTCCGTGTTGATATATAGTTATATCAAAACTCGTGGAAGTTGGGAAAACTCGAAATTGTGTGAAAACACTCCGCCCTTCGGGCGTCGTGTTTCCACACAATTTCTCGTTTTCCCAATTTCCACTCGTGTTGATATAACTGTATATCAACACGGAAAATGTTTTATATTTGTTAAATATAACACATCGCCACACAGGCAGTATATATTATATAACCTTGCATCCATGATTGCATATGTCTAGACAACTACCCACAAAGCCATGTGAAAAATTCGCTTTTGTTGGCTTTCTTAATCTTATAGTTTACATTTAAAAGTCAACATTGATAAATATACCTAATTAGCCAAAAAAAATTTTACGAAAGATGGTAATTAGTAATGATGAGCTAAACTTGACGATACATGCACGCAGCGTCACAAACATACCAAAATACAACAATTTTTAGTGGTATGATAACCGCACAATTTCCAAATATAGTTCTTCCTATCCCTATAGGGAAAACCCAATAATTATAGTGGCATGTTACGTAACACGACAAACATGCCAAAAGACTTCCAAAAATAGTTTTGTGGTCAACCAATCTAACCAAAAAATATTTGGATTATCTGTAAATTTAAAATATTTTTGGTCTATCTCACGTAGGCTAGGCAGCGTCGTCATCGGATATTCATATATATATATATATATATATATATATATATATATATATATATATATATACAAATATACTATAAAATGTACATACCAAAATTAGGCAAAATTTTACTAGTATATATAGTCGAATATGGTATAGTACTATAGATTCATTAACTTGGCCGCACTGCCACTGGTCCAATTTATAAACATAGACAGACAGTCCGTCTGGACTAACTAGCTTGGACAATGAAAAGATCGAGGAAAAGATAGTTCGTTTGTGTTTAAATACGGCTGTTATACATATAGAATCATACATGTAAAGACCAACTACATTGCGTACTTTTGTCGAACAGATCTGACGATATAAATTATGTATCAATTTGGTATTCGACCAACTAACAGGTGAATATTAGACAGAATTTGCCACGAGAACTATTACGAGTACTTTAGATCGCTACTCTAGCTGGTTCGTCTGAATAGTTTGTCTTGTATATATACATGCTCAACGACGGATGTTGTTTTGATGAATCACCCGTCGGCTGTATATTTATCAATCATGAGCCATGAGGCCATTTAATCGTTGTCGCCACAGCGTTCCAAAATTCAAAATCCAGGTGAAATTTGCACTCAATTTTCGATTCGAAAAACTCATTTCACTCATTCCAGAGCGTTCTCTGTTTTGTTTAACCGATTTTCAACGCCAAACAATAAGCCGAATAAAGCTTCCTTAACCTTTTGAACTGTCGCGTTACAAAGACACACTTCTAAATATACGTGTTGTTCGCATAAACTTATAATACCAAGCTGGATAACAAGACCTCCCGTGCGATCCCGTAGCAAAGTTACATTCTCGCTGTAATCAATGTCACTGAATACTGTCCGTGTATACTAAGTTTTGACCAACTATAGAATCTCGAGGACAACACTATGAAACAGGTCATGCGTGCATGCTATTGTACTCTGCTAGGATTATGTGCAAACCGCGGGTAACATTTACTATAAACTGTTTTTTCCTTGTAAGTAATAGAATTTGCCAACTTCAGTCATCAAATTAACTCATTTGGCGCAACCTAGCCGGCCTGACCCTACGATCTTTGCCGCGCCGCCGTGCCTACGTACATTTTAAAACACGTACATTTCCTGATATTAAGCCAGCGACATCGTATATGGTAAAAATACATACACTAACTCATTATATTTGTATTCAGGGCATGGAAAGGAGCAATCGCTAAACACAAATATATATTGCATCCACTTTTGATTTCTGAATCAATATTTATTGCTTTCGGAACGAAGAGTATGTCTCGCCGCGGTAAAACGCTATATATGTGCAACGCGGCTGATACTGACTCGAAATCTCACAACAATGCGCCAGAAGTCATTTTAATAAACTACAAATTTGATAAAGTTTACACAAGTCTTCAAACAGACTGTATTTAAATCAAACTAAACTCGTGTTACCTTTTTGGTTTTTCTTTCGTATCATTCGGCTCAACAAAATCTATAATTTCTTCCTTTGCATCGGCCATTCTTGCTAATTCGGACAGCACGTTTTCTTCAAAGACAAAATGGTATAAACTTCACGTTGGAACCACAGACGGCAGATGGATTTACGATTTTGAACCGTGAACCGAGCTTTGTAGGGTAAATGAAAGATCAAAGAGTGTTCTTCTGCCAAGACGCAAGATTGCATGTGACTTGTTGCTCTTAGTTGTACAAATGAGTGGTTTGTTTGTATGAGCGAGCGCCCTCACTCAATATTTAACAATCGATACGAGTAATTAATATACAATACTAGTCAATACAATATGCATATATTCATGACCAGGTTATGATTATGAAGGAGCAGATCTGATAAGCTTTTGACTTCTCCGGGGTTTAAATACAGCTGTGCTTCCGGAAAACGAATAAGTATATAATTTGTCTAGAGAACGAAAACATTTCTCGACCCTGGGAAATTTGAGATTTTGTAAATTCGAGAAATTTTGTTTCACTCAAGTCATCTTCGAGTTCTTTCGAACTATGTTTCGAATAAACTGTCGTGATCATGAAAGTTGCTCTCGAAAAATGTGGAATAGCCTGGATGTATCGTCTATACCGATCAGTCTCTAATAATAAATTAATAATAATAATAAGCTTCATTCCACAACAAAGATTTAATAACTAAAATAATTATAAACTATCAACAACGTTTAGAATGTGAAGTACATATAACGAAAACCGCGGAAAATAATGCGACTTGTTTCAAAACATTCCGGAATGCGCGTCAGTACATTCCAACAAAAATTGTAGTCACATTCCTGAATGTTTTGGAAAACATGGGCGAGAACAAGTTCAAGATGGACCGCGGTTGGGTAATAATGAGCAATTAATTTTAGTATTTTACTTCAATTATTAATAAAATTCAATCAAGATCAGCAAACTTCGCATTGTGATTTCTGATTTCGTTCTGATCACAAAGTTCACATATTCTATCATTGTACTCAACACTTTTATAACGACCAGTTTCAACAGGTAAACTATGAACTGAAATACTCAATTTAATAATAGCTTGACGGTGTTTAACATGAAAGGTATTTTTTGGACCCAAAATTTAATTTTACTTTCTCGACTATTTGTAATTTCCCCGTTCCTCCGGATCGAGACCTTGTTGAATTTAGTCTCTCCATGACTTTACGAAATAATCGCGTAACTTAATTTTTTTGTATATTTACCAAAACTTCTTACTTCTTTATATGGAATGATAAAAGTCTTTGTGTGGTATGATATACATGAGCGCTGTATGTATATTACATCGTCACCCTGATGAGATCACAACAGTTAAGGCCAATGCATGGTGGCCGAGATTATATCATCGCGAAATATACTTATCTATATATATATATATATATATATATATATATATATATATATATATATTTATGTTCAAACTCAAAATGAAACTGATCTTAATTTAAAGTGCAAACAAAAGTGAAAATAAAATGAAAACAAAAATGAAGAAGTTAATCCTGACCTCGATCTGCAGGAGAGATAAAGGAAAGCATTAATCAGGAAATTATAACACCAGGAGTCGGTTGTCAATCTTTCTAAAACTGCCCGAAAAGCCGTGAAATCACGGATATGGACTTCGGAATTAATAAAAAGAAACTTTAAGTTCATAAATACCTAAATTTAATCTGGATCATACCTATCAACAGTCGATTTTAGAAAGCTATCCGGTGGCTAGTGGTCTTTGTACAACCATAGCCAATAAAATAAAAAGGTTAAGAAAGTCGATGCAGACATAATAGACAATTCCCATTATAGACTAATTTTTTACCTTGGCAAAAAAACTATATTCCCGGAAAGAGTATACTAAAATGAGTAAAATTGCAAAGTTGCGAAACGTTGTATCCCTCGCAAAGTTTGTGTACTTTTGTATTGCGTGCGAAAATTGCTACCATGCACATTTGGGCCGAAAATGGTAGCAATTTCCGCACGTATACAAAAGTGTCAAAAGTATACAAACTTTGCAAGGCTATATTTTCCGCATTTTGCAACATTTTAGTGCAACCAAACTTTGCGCAACTTTACTTATTTTAGTGTGTTCTTTCTAGCTGTGGTGATTTATTTGCATCTCCTTGCCTAGTTTTAAACTTAGTCTATAGTGGGAATTTGTCTATTGACCTCATAGATATCTTATATATACACTAGATAGTGCTCGAGATAGTGCATCTAATTATTCTGCAATTCAAAAATTGAAGCCGTGATTGCAGACTCAGGATATTCCCATGAAATGAGAAGACTCGTATGTTTTCTATTTCTTAAACCGGGAACTTAAACAGTAAGTTAAACCTATTCCAAACACACTTTCAAACTGTTCAAATGATGAAAGTTATTGTTGTTTTTAAGCGTTTATTAGTGAGTGGGAAACTTCAACATGGCCGCCATCTATTCAAATGGGGGTAACCGCTGGAATATTCTATCTAGTTTATATAAGATATCCGTATGATTGACCTCATTATCTATATCTATATCTTTGTCTTGGTTTATGCAAGAAATGGTCGGTTCACGTCACTTGTGTATTGTTTTTTCGCTAGAGCAACCATGCAATAGCTATATTTTCATTTAACCATTGTGTAATAATCGAGTTTCCTAACCTATGGTACAACCGACCCCACCTAGACCTAAGGTGTTTTTTAGACTATGATCTAATTTACTCATCCTTTAATTTTTGTTTGCTCACACAGCACCGCGATAAACAATACTTCAGAGTGATTATGATTAAGAAAACAAACACATGCCAAATAAGCAAACAGAAAGCAATAATATCCAGGCCAAGGTATTTCCATAATGGAATATCCTGCGCGTACGATCTCAAGTGGGCACCACCAAATTTGAGCACATGGTTAATCCAGAACGCCGCCTCTTCAATAGGTGGAACTCTCTCAGATTTCAAAATGGCCGAAGCCTTTTCCACGTTAGCTTTATACTTAGGATTTGTGGTCACTTCATTGATTGCGGAGACCAATTCCTGAACTGAAAATGACTTGAGGTCCAGTTTTAAGCCATAACCTTTTCGGACAATTTTTCCAGCGTTATTTGGTTGATCACCAACAATTGGACAACCAAGTATGGGTACTCCAGCAAACAATGCTTCTTGTAAACCATTTGATCCACAGTGAGAGATAAACAGTTTTGTCTTGTGATGGCGGAGCAAGTCGAACTGAGGAAGCCATTTTCGAAACATGAATTTATCAGACTGGTTATTGTGCTGTTCATCAGTTCGCATAATGAACTTATATTTTGTTTGTTGAAATGCTGACAATAATTTCTCCTTCACTTGCGACGGTAGATTTAAAATTGAACCAAACGAGACAATGACCACACCATTATCGGCACTTTCTATAAACGACTGGAACTCTGGGGGAAGCGCTTTGGAGGTGAGATTCTGAAGGTGAGCGACTGTCTTTTCATTGGGCATTGTAGGGTGGTTATAATCTAGTACACTGTGTTGTCTGGTTATCCACAACTGCGCTTTGGCTTGAAGGTCTATTAGCGAAATACGCGGTTTCTCGGGGACATATTCCTCAATAAGCGACGAATCAATAAATGGATTTTGCCGATATGATAGCAATTCCACAAAGGTATTGAGCAAGCGTTGTTGAAAAGTCATTTGGTCCGTGAAAGGTAAAAACTTCATCGGAAATACAGTTGGCAGGATTGGCGTTCGCTTGCACTGAGGTGAAGCCAGAGATCCCATCATGATAAAAGGAATATCCAATTTGTACGGTATTAAAGTTAACATAATAGTAACTGGATTCGAGTCCAGTATAATTAAATCTGGCTTGAATTTTTCAATATTTTTGCGTAGGGTAATATCCTTTACTATTTTCGTTGCAGTATTAGTGACTGTCACAACTGCAACATTATCTTTCTCGTACAGTTCACTTTGTTGTGACGGAGCGCCCTCGAAATAGAGTTTCATAATCAAATCCTGTAGATATTGATCTTCGGGGAATTCACCCAAGCCATTGAACAGCAACAATTGAACACCATGCTTCTCCATTTTTTCTTTCATCTGAGGTGGAATGGCAATGCGAACGTCATGTCCTTGACTTTGTAAAAATTTCCCGACGTTTGCAGGCCCAGAAAGATGGCTGTAATACGGCATACCAAGGATTAAAATCTTCGCAGCCGAACAACACTGCGCAAACGTCAAAAATACGAATACCAGAAAAACTAGCGTTTGTTTGGTGACTTTGGTCATTCTTGCAATAGTAATGATATAAATCATCCTAGGCACACACGATGATAATCATCCTATATGCATGCAGGGAGTGCAGTATGAAAGAATCAAATATCAATACTACAGCTGGGCAATTTTATGCACATGACAAAATCAAAGGACAATGGACAATGGTGTCAGAATACAGTCTGCAATGGTCTGCCTCATCACCAGGCGCTATAAAAGATTTCACATACGAGTTACTATATAAAAGGTTTACATATTACATTTAATATTTAATCAACAACAAAATACCAGTTTTGGTATATTAAGATGCATACATAAAAAATCTACCACTACACTACATACAAAAATATAACAATTTTACTAAAAACCTAATTTAAACTTTCAAAAACTGCTAAAAGCCTAAAATGTCGTAACAGTATTTGACAACCAAGTTCATAAATAGTGATGGCTATGTGAAATCTTTTTATAGCGCATGGGGACGAGGCAGGTCTAGTACGGAAAAAAATTGGGGTAATGTTGACACGTATATACAGGTCAGGAAAAGAATATTCGAGGACTTTGAATTTTAAGGCCCTGATGTTTTGTTTTCAACTTCGATGGGGCTCTGTATACTACACTGTTTTTGTATTTTGTAAAATACTCAGTGGTTCCCACAATGGTGTCAATCTACACGTTATTTATATGGATATACATATTACAAGACTCTTTAATCAGTTTAATGTATAGTGCTGTCGATCGTAAATATACTGTTTATATATAAACTTTAATTTGCCAATTGGAAAATAAATATATTTGTCAAATTATAATAATAAATTTCGTCAAAATAATAATAAATTTCAAATTCGTCACTGAAAATTTGTCAAATTTTGCAACATCTACTTTTAGGGTTTTACCATATCTAATAGTCAGATTATGATATCATTATGGATCAATGGTTTTTGGACTAGAATTTTTACTGATTGTAACCAGTTATAAACGGCTATAAGCGGATTTTTCCTATCTTGGAAATTAGAGGATTTTCCCTA